TGACTTTAAACACAAATTGGATAGACTTTTTCTTTATATGAGAACAGGTAAAATGGAAGTGGAAGTGGAAGTGGAACGTTAGGAGAGGCGATCAGAACCTTGATGCAGCCTCCCTCAAGGATCGAGCAAGTGGGCGTATGTGGAAAGTGGCGGAAGCTCCAGCTCGTACATACATGGACCAAATGAGCTGACTCGCTACCTACAGGTGGACTTGACCTTTATGACGATGAAGGACCAACTTGACATGGATATTCTTCAATGGTGGAACCAACATGAAAGGAGATTCCCCATTATATCCCAAATGGCACGTGACATTTTATCTGTGCCGGTTTCTACAATTGCATCCGAGTCAACATTTTCAACGAGTGGTCGGATTGTTGAAGACAGAAGATGTTCTTTAACCGATGAGGTGATTGAAGTGATAACGTGTTTACGGGATTTGACTCATGCAAAAAGAAGACTACAACAGCACCTTGAAGATCCCGAACTACTTGAACTATTTAGGAATACAGATTTGAATAATGTAACTAGTGTTGACGATGAAATTGAAGATGAATAATTTAATAAAAAAAATTATTTAATTGTTTATTTTTGAAGCGTGAATGTGTGAAATGTGAATATTACATTTATGTTAAAAATTAAAATTAACTATTAATTTATTATTTTTTAAAATTAATTAAATTTTTAGAAACTTACTAATCAACCCCCAAAAAATACTAAAAACCCCCTATAAAACTTCATTTCGCCCCTAAAATATAAAAAAATATCAGGGGGAGTGGAAATTATCCAAACCCATAGGACCAGTCCCGACCAGGCCTAGGGCCTAGTCCGGGTCCTGGTTTTTCTCATGGGCGAGTGACTGATCCCATTTGGGACCAGTCCCAAACGAGCCCGCAAGGGACCGGTCCTTGCCCAGCTCTACGGGTACCCGTGCCGTGGGTATTGCCTGGCTCACCCGTTTTTTTCACGGGCAAGCTGGATACGGGTAATTTTCAGACGGGTAATTAATGGTGTTACTCGTACCTACCCATTTAGACCGGGTACCCATTTACCCGTGCGTATGAGCAACACTTTGCCAAGTCTATTCATTACTAAGGAAATATCATATTATATTACTACATTAACACGTTTAGTTGTCAAATAATATAAGATTCTGATAATCTTCCAAAACTAATAGTAATTACTGTTGGTAATATATGTGGTAATCAAATTACTACCATTTTCTTAGGTATTTTAAGATTACTTGGTAATATTAATTTTATTATAATTTTACCCCTTGTTAATAAAATTTTTGAACAATAATGTCTTTATTTTGAAATTAATTTACATGAAGCTATCATTACAATTTTACCCTTAATTAATTAAGTTTTTGGACAGTAATACCCTTATATTTAAAAAAAATTACAGGTCACCCAAAACTACCACTGCCCATCAGCAACCATTGCTTGCCGACGTGGCGAGAACGACGCATAACCGGCCAAATCTAGAAGGTCTTGCGTCGATCTAGCCGTTTCCAGCTAGATCTAAGACCAGAGATCTATTTTTCAATGACGGCCAGAATCTAGCTGTTAATGGTTAGATTCTGGTCGTCGGAAATAGCCAGATCCAATCAGTCGTGCGTCGTTTTAGTGATTGCCAATGGTTTGGTTAGAAATTAAACTTTTATGTAGTTAGGTGTTTTAGCAAAATCTCAAACGTAGGGGGTTAAAATAATGGTTAAAAAAATAATAAATAAGAATAATATTATATTAATATTTAAAAATAAAGGCAATTTAGTAATTTAGATAACATACCCACCAATTTATTCTTCCCAATCGAACATATCAATATAACATACCTACAAATTTATTTCAATCTAATCAAATACATTTCCCTAAACATTCATAGTAATCTTTAAAGTAATATATCTTTCCATTAATATAAAATTCATAGTAATATAACATTCGTTGAACCAAACGCATCTTATGTGCTATGTTGTTATATAAGTCATGTTTTAATAAATTTTATATACTGTAATAATTTAATCAACAATTCAATTAATTATTTAAATAAAATGTAATTATTTTTAAGATTCTTTTTTTGTTGTGTGTGTGTGTGTCTTGTCCAACTTAAGAAATATAAGATTAAAGCAGTAAAGTCCAGCCTATATCTTTATAATGTAAATTTGATGAATTTTTAATTATCTGATCTTAATTAATGAGATTAGTTTCTCAAGATTAGTAAAAATATCCTTTTTATTCAATAATATATTTCATTTTCATGTCATTTATTTCGTTATTATATGCTCTAAATATAAATTTAATTTCACATGACACATTACTTAAGAAAATCCTAATTAAAATTATTTAGTTTTTTCAATTATTATTATTAATAATTTGGAGCCTCAATTGAATCTTATTGGGCCGATCCTAAATGGATAAGTTTTGGGCCAAACAGATCAAAATATAAATAATTGGCGGGTCACCAACTAACCATTAAGGTTCTGCTCTTAAACCCTAGAAATATTATTAAGCCAACAGCCAAAACTGAAAAACCCTAATCGCCATCTCAAGGACTTCTCTTCTCATAACAGTGTACACACAGGAGATGGGAAGCGACAGCGAAGCAGAGAGAACTCAACAAAAGGAGGAGAAGAAGAAGATCCTCGCTCTTGCTCCCATCGCTAAACCTCTTGCCGGCAAGAAGCTCTGCAAGAGAACCCTCAAGCTTGTGCGTCGAGGTAAATTTTTTGCAGATGTGATTGTGTTTTTGTTTTCTTTGTTACAGGGGATGTCAATTTTTTTATCTTGCATGTCGTTTTATTGCTGATTGCATGAGGACAGCTGCCATCACTGCAGCGGATGGTTCTATTGGGCTTATTTTAGTGAAGATTTTATGTTTTTAGAAATTTTTAAAGAATGTGTTTCAAGTATGTATATGGACATTTCTTTGTTAAAACGCTCAAGAGTAACAGTGAGTAACAGTGTGCTTGTTTCTGCTTTTGAAACCTTAAAAGCGTTTTTGAACAGTTAAAAGCCTTTTTTTTTTTTTTTTTTTTTTTAATGTTTTGAAGTGTTTAGCTAGAATGGATAGTAGTCTGAAGTGTTTCTTGAGATTAAAAAAGTGTGTTTTTCAGTCGGACAATACTTGAATTGCTTTATGAAATTGCATTGAAGAAGTATTTTTTTACAATCGCTTCTAAGTGTTTTGTTAAAATTGCCTTTATCGAAAAGCATTTTATATACATACACTCCCAACTAATTGTTAGCAAGTAAACTTAATCTCCGAAAAATAGAAAAGTTTAAGATTTGGGTATGTTTCGGAGTCTCAATAATTAGTCAATAGATAAAAATGGGTATTTCAGCCATGTTGAAGAGCTAGTGGGTGTTCTTCTGCTAATGAATTTGAATATTTTCAAGTATTTGTGAATTTTAAATGAGAAGGGGAGATGAATTGTAGATGCTCCAAGTTATAACATTCAGCTTTCTTTTTGGTTGTGTACTATATTCTTCCCTGTAACTAAATTATCTTTGTGTATTGTTGTAGCTGCTGAACACAAATGCTTGAAGAGAGGAGTGAAGGAAGTGGTTAAAAGCATTCGGCGAGGTCATAAAGGGTAAGTTTTGTGTTCATCAGAGATTCTGAAAATCTTATGACTATGTTTGTATAAGTAAAGTTTGGTAGAAATTTAAGATTTCATAAAGGGTAAGTTTTTAACTTTACTGCTTTAGCATATCAGTTGTACTGCTTGTACATGGAATGACATGCTTCCACTGAGTCTCAAATATATGGTTTCCAATTGTTTCAATTAGGATTTTATTATTTTGCAGCCAATTTTATCAATTACTAGAAGTGATTCTTCCTTGTATTTCTTTTACATTCATCTGAAAACCATATTTCCTTTCACATGTGCTATGCTCATGCATCCTTGTCTTGTTCAACTAACCTATAATAGAATAGCTTCAGAAGTAAGAGCTCCTTTTTGCTGGGTGCAGATTATGCGTTATAGCTGGGAACATATCTCCAATTGATGTTATAACACATGTTCCAATCTTATGTGAAGAATCAGATATTCCCTACATCTATGTTCCTTCAAAAGAGGTACTTTACTTTTTTTCCACCCCTTTTTGGGGTATTCACAATGAAGTGGCAACACATGCTGCCGTCTCGTTTTCTTGTAAGGATTGTATAATTTTGTATAGGTTTCCTTTTCATTTGGTTGACTTGTTTCTGCTTTGTGTCTGTATTTTTGTGGGGATAGAGGTATTTAGTGGCTGCTTCAATTGAAAAGTTTTTCCACCTGATTTACCTTTTTTCTTTTTACTTCATTTGTGTGAAGTATATTTGTGATTAGGCTTGTGGTTCATTCTCATGAGGTTTGGGGCTTGATTCCCCAGGATCACCTTTGTGGTGAAAAGCCATGATCTTCCTGTAGCACAAAGACTATAGTGTTAAATGGAACTGTAGTTCTGAAATTGAGATTGTGCGGGATATATGGGTTATATATATATATATGAAATCTGTCTCACTCTGTGCTTGTATGGCTCATCCTGTGTCTGATTGATTTGCTTTTTCAGGATCTTGCAAATGCAGGCGCCACCAAGAGGCCAACGTGCTGTGTGTTGGTGCTAACCAAGCCTGTAAAGGGAGAATTAGGATCAGAAGAACAAGATAAATTGAAGGCTGATTATAACCATGTTGTAGTTGATGTGAAAGAACTCACATCCACTCTTTTCTGATTAACAAGACCGAGTTGTATTTCTTTCACCAATATGCTTAATTTTGGACATTTCATGCCTGCTTGTTGAGTAATGTACTTTCTTTCAGCAAATATAATATGCAGTTGTGTTTATTCATTAGTTGAAACAGGATAGTTAGCAGACCTCAAGCTATATATATGGGTACAATGAGCGAGCCAATACCTTAATCTACTGATTGTGCTGTAACCAAAGGAATTACAATGCTAATTGCTCTTCGTGGGACAATTATGTTAAAAAAGATGCATAGTACCCAACTATCAATTATCAGTGGAAGCTTTTATTTGAAATCACAGATTATCACCGAGTTCAAATACATTGAAGATCAAGAAAGCTGAGTGCTCTCTCTAAATGGGTAATATGACAACAGTAACAAAAACAATATCTATGCTGAAGCTGAACATGAGCATATGACTAATCATTTCTGAAATGTGAGACCCTTGAACAGAAAGATACTGATACCACCAATTGCTAAAGTTAGAATAAGAGGGACACTGATTGAGTCAATATCGATCTTCCGGCCTGCCTCATCTGCTCTTTCTTGACGAGACCTTTCTCCCCAGTATTCATGCAGAATATTGCTTATACTGTCTAATTGGAGCATAATTTGACGTTGTCCTCTAGCAATAAGTAGAACCTGTTCAGCAAACAGAGAAGTAATCAGGCAACATATATCATGGTACCAATGGCTGAAAACCCACTGCTCTAAAATCATCTAGATTCAGTTTCACTGATTCATCAAATTCATTCAACAGAACAATACCTCTATGAAACGCATTGTTCATATATGTTGAACATTATTGTTATCATACAAATTGGCTATAAGAGGTGAGCTGTGATCAAGAATTTTGATTAGAAGAGGAACAAACCGTATATAAAAAATGTTGCTCAATATATCAGAGCATTATCTAAATTTTGTAGCACAAACAATCCCGTCTTTGTTATATAAATAATGTGATGCAATAATAGGTATTTCATTTATTATTCTTTGAGATATGGAGTACTAAGAAAACAGCCACCTTAATGTGATGGTCGAAAACCTAAATCTGCTAAAAATTTATTATGCTGATGCTATCAGATTCCTAAAGAGAAATATCTAAGAAAAGAATAAATCAGTAACATTGGACCAAAGTGCATTGTCTATTACAGGAATAATAAACTCCATGTCTCATATGTTCAAATTCATTACTCCAGAACAATTTTTATTCCATCCCATTCATCCGACAGTTTACACTTTTAGTTACCTTAAACAGCACCCTATCCAATAATCTATAGCATTCTTTCTGCAATATAACATATTTAAATTCTGCAAACAAGTAGAAGTTCAGCATAAACAATCATTTAGGCACAAAACCACATCCAACAAAATTGTTTTAGTCGAAATTTCTTTTTCTTTGAGGTTCTTATTATTCTTATTCATAATCTCTCTCTCTCTCTCTCCCCCTTTTCCTTTTAGAACCTTTTAACCTAATTAATAGAACTATAAATATCCACCATTAACTCCTACAATAATTTCTCTGTTTATTTTTCTTACATTAAAATAGAGATGAGATTTATCGTGGTACCTCTTCCATAAGTGGGGACTCCCTAGCCAATTGGGAAGAAGATGATGAAATGGGAAGGACAGACCCAGTTAATGAACCATTTGCCAAGCCAGTCATGAAAAGAGAAGTCGGTCCGGAGCCATTGCAGGTTTCAGCTGGCAGAGCTAAGTTTTGTTGGCTAGTTGAAACTTTTCTGATTGAGAACTTGGAATTCAGCTCTTCAATACGAGATGTGAACTCATCCATCCTCTCATTCAGTGTGGAAATTTGTTCAGAAAGTTGATTAATGACTCCCTGAAACAATCCAGAAATAAATGAAAACTAAAACTAATGTTCTGCTATGAAGGCAGGAGTATAAAGCAAAAACATAATAAAACCCAACCATTTTCCAGAAGGGAAAAAGAACACACACAAAAAAATAAGATAAAATAGTAACAACAAATTATGCAGTTATTAAGCTTGTGCACGAAACAAAATGATCAAAGGAAGGGAAAAAATACAGAACCTCTCATGCATATAACTTTTTAACAAATACTTATCCCTGCTTTCATTTCACTACATTTCCATTTCTAGGCAACCAGAGGCAGAGGAATTTGCAGAGGTGAAGATATGAGCTAGGTCAGCCAGCAAGGTCCCCAGTAGTCATACAAGAGGTCTGGGGTCTAATTCTACTCACACCAAGGTAGGAGGTCAGGATTAAGGGGTCAAAATTTGAATCTGCGGAGATAGATAATGAAGATAGCCACAAAATCCTTCACACTATACATTTTACTGACCTGGTTTGCAACTGAGGCTGGTGATTCTAGTGTCCTTCCATCAAACCTTGTATTATTGACAGCAACTCTAGCGAGCTTAGGTATATTCTTGTCTCGTTGACTTGAAAATGACTGTGATATACCACTGCCATTATACACAAATATTTTGGAAGGAACAAATCCGTTCCATAAATTTCCAAAATATTTGAAGATTGTTTTATCAGTGCCCTTCAGAAGTGCTTGTAACAGATAAATTGAAAATGCTTTCCCCCAAAATATGGGAGATTATGTATTCAATATAGCAGATATATCAGATTGTTGCAAGGAACTGAGAATACCGGCTGAGGTACTTAGATCTCCGATCTGCAGAGGCCCGGGAAAGGGCTTCTTTAGGGCTTGAAACCATTTCATCATCTATGCTGAGCTTCGTTTTCAAATCATCTGGCAATGCCTGCAGATTAGTCAAATTAGCAGCATGCAAATGTCACAGAAAATGCATAATCAGCTACAAGTATCATACCATAACATCATTCACGAGTTTTTCCAGCTGAATTTGTTCTATGTAAGTGCGAGGAACATATGAACCTTCCAACCCCAGCTGCTCTGCAATGTATTTAACATATAAACGATCTTTTCCTTGCACCTTTATAACAAGATCAGCAAGGATTTAGTCAGTTCAAACCTTTGAAACATTCCTCTACAAAGCCACAGAGTTGATAGAGAATATAATTATTTTCATAAGCTTTGAATGTATTACATAACAATTACAGAATTTTGGCCGGAAAAGTCGTTATTTAATATATTTAAAAGAAAAGTTCAGTGTTACAACGGTAAAGACATCAAATAATATTAGCAGAACACAATTCAGAATCAAGATAAAGACAGACTAGCACATGATCATGAAATATGAAAGATGAGAACCTGACACCATAACATAAGAAGAAAGTCCAACACATAGAGGCATTAGATAAGATAGTACCTGAACATATTTGCGATTCAGTTGCTCTAACCAATCAGTTTTCACACACACCCTATCATCAGAGAAGATATGGCTGCTTCTTTTCAGTATAGTTGCAATTGTATATCCCAAAGCCATCAGTCCTCCAAGAAGACGCACACTAACTTCGAATGTTATTCTAGGTGATATTATGAATGGACTATCTGCAACCCATTCCTGAGAAAAAGAAAAACTGGTCAGAATCCTCAAATTTCACTCCCACAACTCTATAAAGATTACTGAGATAAACTCTTAATGATGAAGATTGTGCATATCAACCAACTCAATCCAACACCAAAATCCAAAAATAAATCCAATTTATTGACAATGTTCTACTGGTATCCTCTGCTCGGTCATATGTTTCATTTAACCATATGATGCCATTCTGACTTAAAATTTTATCAAGTGACCTATCCACTTAAGTTTCGATGTTGACCTTAGCTTCTAGATTTCTGTTATCCCAATTATAAGTAGATATCTTTTCACAGAAAGCACCATACTAATACTGGGGAAGAATGCTGTTTCAAATGTTCAAATATTGATTTAGAGATTCCTTCAAAAAGAAAATGGCAAGGCACTTTTATGGCCGATGGGAAAAAATGTTTACTTAATGGCATTTATAATCAAGCCATTGGAGCACATTTTTTCCTCACACATGTATACAGACAGAGAGAAAGTGCATCATCCAATGTATGCACTAAAAAGAAAAAAAAAAAAGGCATCAATCTGCAACGTCTCCTACCATAAAAAAAATCCTGACAAATCGATCACTAAACCTAGACAAAGAAAAAAGCTTCCATGCGCTAATCATGGCAAACCATGACATCAGAACTGCTGGTAAAAGATATATGAATAGATTTGCTAAATGCTGTAAATTTCTCACCAAAATTTTACTAGGCTTATTTTCTACCACATAAATTAGTTGAAGAAGGGGCTTAAATTTACAATCGTCCAACCTCAAACATGAGATTGTATTTCCCATCCCTGTTCCTCATCCTCAGATATGATTGACATGCTTCAGGATCTTCACCAGGCGGCAGAAGATATATGTCATAAGTTTCCTCAGTAGTTTCTGTGTGTTCTTCAGATATAACAGCCTTGATTTCATCCACAGTCACTTGCTTTGTTGACTACAATGATAGAAAGCACTCAGTACTAGAGAAGAAAATGTCTAAGCAAGACACTTTTTAACCACAAAATCTTAATCTGAAAAAGAATATGAATATAAACCTTTAAAATATAAGTGGGATTCTGAAATCCTGTGAAGGGATTAAACTTGTTGATAATTTTAATGTGAGCTGTTTGTAGATCTGGCTCAATAAAAGCCTTGTACATCGGATACACCTGTAAAAAGGAAGCTGATGAGAACGACCACGGCAATTACAATTGGAAACACATTGAATGAGGAAACTCAGTCAGATGGCTTAAAGAAAATTATTTTAACATGTCATGATTGAAATTACTGTTTCAGAGATCTGGTGGATTATTTCTTCAGGCTCTTGGCCAACACGTTGAATGTCGCGAAAAACCCGTTTAACAAGGTCAAAATGAACTCCACCCGTGACAGAAACTCGAAGATCTAAAAAAGGCCGCAATTTCTCGCTTAAAGCATAAATGCCTTCAATAATCACAATGCGGGAGCTAGGGACTTCAACTGTCCTGTTAGAAGCATCAATATGAGCACAGATTACGAGAATTAACAGTAGATAACTACTTGATTTTCGGTTCAAGTGAAAAGAGGAAAAAAAGCACAGTAAATGAAGCAAACCAACGATTGTAAGCTACCATATAAGTAAAGTTCACATAAACTAGAAGATGAACTGAATAGTGGCTTTCCTGATATTCCTAATCAACCAATACATTATAATTTTTATCTTCTTTCCAATATTGTACTCCCTTGTCCCATCATAATCAGGCTGTAAGGTGATTGGAACAAACACCCTTAAGAGTTTTCAAGTCTTACAAAATAGAAGATAGAGAGATAAACAACCTGTAACCTGTGCGGGAACTAGACTTGAAATCATATATTGGAACTTGAACAGCTTTCCCAGCTTTTAAACCATGTATGTTTTCAAGCAGTGTGTCATAATCTGTCAAGCGTGGGTCTGTTTCAAAACGCTACAACAATTAGAGCTCTACCAAGCATACTTCCCTCATCTCACTCATCATACTCAAATATCCATCTGGAAAATACAGAGAAGCTAAACAAACTTAAATAACATTTTCAATAGAAAAACAATAAAAAATGTTTGTGAGATCAGCAACAGATGATTAAGAAAGTGAAATAAATCGTTGCTCCTACTATGATCTCAAATATATAGAGTACATAAAAGGTATTGCAAAATCAGGTATACCTTAAATAAACAAGCAGATTTGAGGCATCTGAAGAATAATTATGACTAGAAAATTCATTTTACACAGCCATTGACATTTAAAAATACTCGATCATCTCAAATCCAAGAGAGGTTGGAGTAATTGTCCATAAAAAAATATATACGCTGAGATTTCACAATCTCCCCTTAAGTGTAGGAGGCAGGGATTCTATCATTTCTATAATACCTTGTTTATTTGGTATTACTGGCTCAAAGAAAGTGGAGGAAGGAGTCAGAAATATAGGCTTAAGACATTCAGTTTAGTGTCGTAGCTCTATCATCTGAAATTTAATATTAAAAATAATATCTTGAATGAATTTAGAAGCTTAAATATGGGGTAAAACATGCTTGATTATCTTCAATGTTTAAAAGGCTTCTGAAGTAACCATTTTAAACATGAGTATTCAGAACTTTAATGAATCCCAGCCAGCATGAAAGAATATGAAAGCTACCATCAAAGTTGCCATCAATGATACGACTAGCATCATTGTAATTGTCCATTGTTATGACAGCAATACTGGGCATGAAGTTGAGCACCTTCTCAGTAAATACAGTCTTTCCAGCTCCAGAAGGACCAGCTACTCCAACTAAAATTATTCCATCGTTCTTTTGAGACAACAATTGGCATGCACGAATGACTATGAAAAAACCTTTCTCAAATGACAGTTGCTCTTCTATTGGAACAATCTCATAGCGATTGGAGTCCTTTTTCTTAACCAATTGAACCTGATCTCGCAAGAGACCAGAACGTCTCCGAGGTGAATCAGCACCAGAAGACGTGTCCTGAGCCATTTTAGAGCTAGAATATATATAACCTGCTACAATGCAGGTAGAAAACACTGTAAAGTTAAAGTAAATGATTTTGGCAAAGCACAAATCAGGCAACAATGAATAAAATTCATTTACATCAGGTACAACATATTCAACCCATGATTTTTCTTCCAACCCACACTCATGCTATTAAAGAAAAGATTACACAGTTGGCAAAGAGAAATTAATAAATAGGACCGTCCCACCACATCAACAACCACAATCAGAAAATACAATAATTAACAATGGATAACTACCAAATTCGATTGCCACGTAGAGTATGATGCTAGGGGAACATAGTGATACACATGTATTGGCCAGTCATACAACAAATGTGGAAAGACAATCCCACCTAATAATTTTGCATTGAGCCAACATTTTGTCATTACTTTTATTTTACTTCTATTTTCCCCACAAATATAGCTGAATCAGAGAGCTTTTAACAGCGTATACAGAAAAATCACCAAAGCTCCCACAGAATACACAGAGCAGAACTACTGATAAGTTATAAGTCAACAAGTAACAGCGAAAAAATAAACAAAATAATGGTTTAAGGCACCGCGCTTCAGGTAATTTTCAAATAGAAAATTTAGATCATATTCCTAAACAGTTAATTCATTTCTAAATAACAGAGCAAAAAGCCCCATACAGTAGTAAAAAACAAAAGCTCCCATTTCCATGAATAAGAAGAATCCTGTCCCAAGTAACGATTAGTAAGATCATGAACTTTACATTCTACACAATACAGAAAATTCAACATTCATACAAAAAGCAACCAGTAAACAAGAAAATTCAAATAGCCAGACGCATTTTCATAGTCATGTTGAAAAGACTCAGTTTTAATCAGCTAGAAGACATAACTATTAAAATAATAATAATAATAATAATAAGCAGTGAAGATATATGAATTTAATGAAACCAGTAAAGAAAATTGTTGACCAACATATCGTTTGGACTTGCATGCATCAAACTACACGCCCAAACAACCAAATTTCCAATACCAAAAACAAAACAAAACAACCAATACCCAGAAGGCAAAATTCAGAATATAAACTACCCAGAAGTGAAAAAAGGCACATGAAAGAGCTAAGATCACCATGAAACATGTACAAAAGGAGTTTTACCAAACCTCTGTTTGATTAATCAACAGTGAGAATTCTTGGAGTTTACAGGAATTAAAATAGCCAGAGGTTTCTGGGATTTTAGGGAGGTGCTGGGATCCTTGTGATCGTTCTGTGGACAGAAACAACAGGTGTTGCGATGTAACTGGATGGAACCAAAAGGGATTGTAAGGAATAGAAGTATGGAACAAGTAGTTTGGATATAACTGAAAAAGAAGTTAATTTACAGCTATATATAAATATATTATTTTTGTTTTTCCTAATTTTGTTACAGCTACATATAAATAATATTATATTCTTGGAGTTTCCAGGAATTAACGTAGCCAGAGGTTTCTGGGTTTCTTCTGATGGTTCTGTAGCAGAAAAACAGGTGTTGAGGTGTTACTGGATGAAACCAAAACGGTTGTAAGGAACGTAACAAGTAGTTTGGATATAAATGCAAAAGACAGATATTGACTAGACCACTTAATATATATATATATATATATATATAATAATAAATCATATATAATTATAAAAAATTCTAATCGCAATTTAAAATAACTATAAATAAGAGTAAACTTCGTATCATAATAAATAATAATTTTTTCAATTCAAGTTACTTCTATATAATAATAATTATTTATATATTACTAAAAAATATATATTATGTTACATTAAAAGTTTAAGATGAAATAAAATATTTATCTAAAGTTGTTTGGGATAATGATTTATACTTTAGAATTACTACCACATATTTTACCTTATGAGTATATGATAACTCGCTCGCATAGATACCTTTTTGTTGAAGCCGAAATATTTTAGCTTCTTAAGCATGTTTAGAGCTTCATGACATGAAATTTTTTATATTTCCGTACTATCATCCTCAAGATTAGTTTTTTTATCTTCTTGTCTAATTGTAGTAATGATTTCTTCTTCGATTAAAGTATACACGATTTATTGCTCATTTGGATGATTGAGGAAGATATTAATATCCATTTGATTAGTGTAGTAAAATTATAGAATCTGATCACTCAATTTGCAATGACTTTTTATTCTCCTCGTCCACTTCATTTGTAACTTGTAATTTATTAAAGTCCTAATTTTACAATGCTTAAAACCATTGAAAATTGTTTGTGGCTTCACATTAATTGACTATGTATCAACTGTATTTATAGTTTCATGAATGACACTTGTCTTTGTTGGTTTTAAGACAAGGTCTTCTCGTTTTAAAAATAGGCAATTAAAGCGCTAATTGAACTCTTAATATTTTACTATTAAAATATAAATTATAAAATAAGAAATCAAAATAATAATTTTTGTAACTACACTTCTATTTTTTTTTTCTAATTTTGTTAAAATTGGTTTAATAAATAATAATACAAATTCGTTTCCGCTAACACTCCGGGAGACTTGGCGGCAGAGGCAGTGGCGGCGGATGGCGGTATTCCCCAGTATTTCTTTATGGTAGCTAAGGGTAAAAGTGTCAGTAGAGATAGAGAAGTAGATAATAACGCAGTAGAGGACAAGGAAATTACACGTGATGCGTTTCTGTTTAATACGTACAGGCACCCTTTTGTTTTGTTTTATTTTGATATATAAATAATATATATACCATCTCCACTTTAATATCCACTGTCCACTACTTTTGTCGTAAAGTTCGTTCACTCTTCGTTGGCTTAAAGTCTCTGCCGTCATGTGTGACAGTGTGAGAGAGAGATAAGAAAAAGCTTTGAGTTGAGTCTGCTGTGAGAGAAAGAGAGAAGAAAACTTGAGAATGGAAATGAAAGGGGCTCCGGCTCTTCATGGATACCGCATGCCTGCAGAGTGGGAACCCCATTCACAGTGCTGGATGGGTTGGCCTGTAAGCTCTATTTTTTCTCTGTTTATTTATTGCTCATCCATTAATGGTTTTGATTAATTTTGTATGTGAATGATCTATTATTCGTTGATAATAGACTTCGGTTTTTTTTTTTTTTTTTCTGGGAATGATGAATGGTTAATGGTTTTGATTCTTTATTTTATCCGATTTGCATGTGACAGTTATCAAATCATCTCATGTGTTTGATGATGGTTTTGTTTGCAAGTATTGTAGATATCTCGATTGATATAAGAGAATTAAAGAACGAACACTATGTAGTTATTGTACTTGTTTTATGTTTTTTATATCATATAATACTTCCCAAAACTCCCAAAACAATAAAGATTTTGATTGATAAGATACAAGGTAGATGATTGACTCCAATTTTTAATTATGTCACACAATCATGAGAATTGGCTGAATCATTTCACAAAAGTTCATTGCTATCTTCTTTTTATTAAGCAAGTGGACTTCAGTTCTTGAATAATCCACCTTGTTTCCTCTTCTATTGTAGGAATACATTCGCCGCTGAGGTGTAAAAGGCTCATATCAATAATTATGATTATACTTTTTTGATACGCTACTAGACATGTCAATTTAGTCTAGGACAATCGAGTAAACTTAAGTTTTAGCTCTGATTTGGGATAAGACTTATGTCCGTTCATATCATGCTTCGTGTTGTAACCGTGGCGTGTCCTTATCTTAAGTGTCATATATTTATATTATTGGTTTGTCTTCATCTTCCTGAGAAATTCCACAAGTGAAGATACATACTTTCACTAGTTCAACATGTAACTATATTGCTAGTTGTCAATCTTTGTCTTCCTCTCTTGAACAAGCTTCAGTTTCCATTTTGTTTGTCTTTGTTCAATCATATGATTAAACATATGATTTTGCCCATATGATAGTAAAAAGTATGAAGTTATTAATATCGTCATAGTCTATTTGACAATTAATATCCACATTGTCAGGAACGTCCAGATAATTGGCGAGACAATGGCGTTCATGCCCAAAAAGTATTTGCTAAGGTAGCAACAGCAATCTCAAAGTTTGAGCCTGTGACTGTCTGTGCAAGTGCTGCTCAGGTTGGTGGAAGTAGCAAATGATGGAAATGTCTCTGATACTTTTCTTAATGAGTTCAATAATTTTAATTTGTTGCATTCTCAGTGGGAAAATGCACGAAGTCAGCTACCAGAAAATATCAGGGTTATTGAGATGAGCATGAATGATTCATGGTTTCGAGATACTGGACCAACTGTGAGCTTTTTCTCTCTTAAATAAGAATATTACTTAAGAGTTTGCAATTGCAATTTTGATAAATCTGGCCTGATTTCTATTTTAAACAAGTAAATGATTTTCTTTTGTTATTTGTTTTCCTCAAATAGATTGTTGTGAGTGATAGTACAGTAACTACAGATGCCCCAGTACCAAAGTTTGCTGGAATTGACTGGAATTTCAACAGTTGGGGAGGTAAGCTATAAATAATTCAAAACTTCGTAACTTAATTTTAACATATCTCAAACCCTCACAAATAAAATACCATATGTTAGCATACATTGACATACCATATGCAATGTCAAAGGTTGATATATATATACTTTTAAATTTATTCTAAAGTTTTTCCTTGCGACCGGATCCCAAAATTAGAAGAAAATTTGTCTCATGTCCTTTTTTGATAATGTTTGGAGGCATTTGCCTGGGAATGATAATTTTATTCAAGTGTGATCATATACCCGAAAATTTCTAGTGCAGTTTTGGTTTGTTCATTGTGTTGCCTTATATTCCTAATAATAAAAGTGTAGGACATAGGTGCATCACTGTTCTTATGCAAGAACTTTGTGCCCCGCATCTCTGTCTTTGTTGAATTGACACCCAAACTCTCCCTGTGATTGCATATATAAAGAAATTTTGTGGAAGTGATAGTTGTTGTTTTTGTGATCTTTGTTTGATATGTCAATAATTTTGCTCACTAGGGTGCCTTCTCAAAATCATTTTACTCTTGGAATTTTCAGGGGTTGATGATGGTTGTTACCAAGATTGGAGTCTTGACCTTCTTGTGGCATGGAAGGTTTGGGTGTAAATCAGATTTCAGTTTGTTGGATGCGTCTCTTTTTTTCCCCAAGTACATTGGTTTTTCAAATTTGCTAGCTTTTGATCCCTTTTTAACATTTGTTGTTAGATTTTGGCAATTGAGAGGCTTCCTAGGTTCCCACAGTCTTTAATTCTTGAAGGTGGAAGTATCCACGTGGATGGAGAAGGTAATGGTTGCAATTTATATGCTGTTTGGTTTGATCTTGATAGATATATCACCTAGAGATCTCGAGTCACCAATAGAAGGGAGAAACTTACATTTCTGAATAAGTTGCAAAAGCCTGTGTTTGTTTGTGGCATACAATTACATTTTCAGTATGCTTCACATTCAGATTTCAAGACCAAATGTTCTTTTGCTGCAGAGACTACAACTGCCCTAAGAAAGTTGAATACTTTTATACGAAATTAATACAACCGGCATACTTTTTGTTTGTTGAGTATTTTGTGTTGCTTCTTTAGGTACATGCCTAACCACAGAAGAGTGCCTTCTGAATAAGAACAGGAACCCACATTTGAGCAAAGAACAAATAGAGGATGAACTGAAGGCATATCTTGGAATTAGGAAGGTTATATGGTTGCCTCGTGGATTATATGGTATAATTCTTAATGTTGCAATGCCATTGATATATTATAGAAATACGTAATGGAGATACATAGATCGTTCCCCCAAAATTCTATCTTTTCTATCTTTATTTAAGCTGAAAACATCTACTTTGATGATTTAACAGGTGATGATGATACCAATGGTCATATTGACAATATGTGCTGTTTTGCAAAGCCTGGTGTAGTTTTGTTGTCTTGGACTGATGATGAAACAGATCCTCAGTATGAACATTCTGTCGAAGCCTTTTCTGTTGTCTCTAACACTACTGATGCAAAAGGTCGGAAATTAGAAATAATTAAACTCCATGTACCCGGGCCACTTTATATGACAGACGAAGAAGCAGCTGGAGTTATTCAGGCAAGCATCCAGTGTCTAAAATTTGTGTTTCATGCCTCTGCATCTATCCCTTTTTTATATACACCAAAAGCTAGCTTAATATCTAAAACTGGTTTAGTTAACAAATGCATCTCTAGTACTCTACCCAGGTGAAAATTTCCAAATTTGTCACTGCAAATACAATCTGTAACATCTTTATTTGCATCATGTCACTTTAGGACTCGGGAACTCTAATGAGTGATGACCCTCTACCCCTTTATCATATCTGATTTGTGTGCAAGAGTGAAACCAACTCTTTAACGTTTTGGCTTCAGGTTGGTGAGGCTAAACCAAGACTTGCCGGTACCAGACTTGCTGCTTCATATGTAAATTTCTACATCGCCAATGGAGGGATCATCACACCACAGTTTGGGGACAAAAAATGGGATGATGAAGCTATTCGCGTGTTGTCCAAAGTTTTCCCAAATCATGAAGTAAGCAAGTGATTTCGTTAAATATGTCACTTCTACAATATTTGCACAACATAAATTGAAACAGATTGATGTTATATTTGTCTAATCTTGATCTCCCGTTCTTATTTTTCCTTTATGGATGAACTTATAGAATGTTTTTTCGGATCAGGTGGTAGGAATTGAAGGTGCAAGGGAGATTGTTTTGGCGGGGGGAAATATTCATTGCATTACTCAGCAACAACCGGCCATTCCTACTGCTATTGCATAGCCCAACACTATTAAAATCCTGAGCTGTTGTTGATGAACTATACTCCATTTTTATTTTTTATTGATATTTCAAACTACAATTATGAATGACGGTTATATTAAAATTAAATAGTTCCACAGTTGGATTATTCGCAATACTCTGTTTTGCATCTGGCTCTCAGAGAGAGAGACCAATTATTGCTTCATAATTCACGAATACAGTACATATCTGTTAAACTGGAAAGTACAAAAACTTAAAAGAAGAAATGGGCAGCCAGATAAAACGAATCCAGCATGGGCGGCCAGATAAAACTAATCCAGCATGGGCAGCCGGAAAAAGTGCAGTATATTGCTGTATAAGCATTCTAATATGAGCTCATGAAGAAATGTCTTTACCAAATAGTCCAGCTATTCCTTCAGTGGGGTCATTTTGTTTCACAATTGACTCCCCGACCAAAACCTGCAAGGTCACACAATTAAATTATATAATCCTACAGTCTGAAATGATCAACCATTTCTATGTCATTCAAATAAAACATTCTTCTCCCTTCTCGGAGGACAAAGAGATAATCACTTTGATTAAAGAAAATGAAACCTTATTAAGGGAAAATCATGTAATATGCCAGGTGTTCAAGACCGGTAAGAACGAGCAATAATACACATTTTGGTCTAAAAAAAGAAAAAAAAAATCCTGTTTTTAGAGGCAAAAATATTTGCAGAAATTTAGATTTTGTAAAGCGAGTATGACTTGAAACTTACAGCTTTGACACCAGCTTCTTGTACGAATGCAATTTGATCAGGAGTAAATAGCCCAGATTCACCAACTACCTGAAAGCGTCCGAAAGTAGGGAACCCAAAACAAGTTAGTAATAGCAATGATATCACTGGGGCGAATGAGAAAGAAAACTATTTTTAACCACGAGGAAATGAGTTGCACTAGATGGTCATATCTCTTTTCAGTGAATGGTCATAAAACTAGTAAAAAGACAACTTACAATAATGTCTTTTTGACGGATCCTTTGGCCATGCTCTCCTTGAAGAAGCATTTTTGTGTTATTAATATCAACCTTAAATGTTTCTGTGGACATGAAAAGATATAAATTGCACATGTTTACTACCATTGTTATATCTGTACCCTAAGCCAACTTGTCAGGGTTGCTTAAAGGGTCAAACTTAAAGTAATGTAAGTTCCAAATATAACCAAAATTATGATAATCTAGAAAACTTACCAAGGTTACGATTGTTGATACCAATAAGCTCAATCCCCTCCATTCCAAGAACACGATCCATTTCTTTCTCATCATGAACCTAGGATTAAACAATAGAAGATAAAAGTTTTCAATCATCCATAACTTTCACCATTTTTCAGACTGCGAGGTTTGAATAGTTCATCATTATCCACAAAATTAAGTTTGGTCACAAGTATCTAACTCGTGCAGATAAATATGTTTGTTGCACCAGATATTAGCATAAAAAAACCCATCCCAAACAATCCCAGTTGCAGAAATAGCATCGGAATACAATAAATAACAAAAGAAGCAACATTCATACCTCGACAAGTGCTGCTAAACCAAGCATCTTGCAGACCTTAATCATGTATCTGATGTCAAGATCAGGTAAAACAGCAGCAATCAAAAGAACTGCATCCGCACCTTTCATTCGGGCATAGTAAATCTGCCATACATCTATTATGAATTCTTTGCACAGTAGAGGGCACTGCAAAATTGACAAGCATTAGAACTCAACTAATTCTAATCTTCATACTCTGAAAAACAAGGCCAAGACTGCAGACTGAGCAATACAAATTGCAGAGCAGACCTTTACTCCAGCCCTCCTTATTGCCTCCAAATTGTCAAAGCTACCCTAAAGTGAGAAGATCAGAAAGAGGTAGACAAAGCAAACTTTTAGCTTTGGTATTACATTTAAGCACAGGACTGCTCAAAAAGATAAACTCAATAAATCAAATATACCTTAAAATACTTTTCATCTGTCAAAACACTGAGGCATGCTGCTCCACCTTTCTCATAGGCTTGGGCAATTTCAACCTATCAAAAGAAAGCTTAAGATAAATAACAAATCACAGAAAAACAAATTGTAAATGAATACAAAAATAATTAGAATCAAGAAAAATAATGAATATGTTAAGAGTGTCGGTTTTATGCACGTATAGTAACCGGATCAAAATCCTCTCTGATGATTCCCCTGCTGGGAGAAGCCTTCTTTACTTCGGCAATCAAACCAGGCAGTCCAGTTCGTAGATGGGCAGCTCTAAGAGCTCCAATGAAATCTCTAGCAGGTGGAGCATTCTGAAGGGCTTTCTTCAGCATATCAAGTGGCCTTCTCTCTTTTAATTGTGAAACCTCAACATCCTTGTGCCATACAATTTCCTCTAAAATGTTCTGAGGAGTATTGCTCTCATTCTGAATCCGTAACTCAAAGGGTCCTGCATATTCCAAAGGAGGCCCAGTGGGAGCCCTTCTCCTTATTCTTATACCTTGGCTAGCAGCTATTTCATTTTGGAACATCCCGACTTCCCACTCTTTCACTTTAAGAGCAATTTCAGTATCCTCCTTCACAGGAGTAATTACAGCTGACCCATCCTTGCTCTCAGGCTACAAACAGAATACAACATTCTTTAGTACTGGCCGGTAATATTAGCAGACTAGATGCAACACAATGCAACGATAATTAACATTCACCAATCACGCATAAATCCCACTAAACAATAATATTACACTCACAAACTACCTACAAAATCTCTCCTTCACAAATTCATCAATCCTAATGATAACACATAAATCAAAGTTAAACAAATTAAAAGAATAATTGCACTGATCATAAAACAATGTTACTACCGGGGTAACATTACCACGCCTTAGCACTCCGGTAACGTAATTAGGATATTATGTGGTACTAAACTAGCAGTAATGTATCATTTTTTCTCTTCAGTTCAATCAAATAACAAGTAAAAGGAACATTTTTTTTCTCTGTAGTTCAATCAAATAAGAAGGAAAAGGAACATTTTTTTCTCTGTAGTTCAATCAAATAACAAAGTAAACGGAACATTTTTTTTTCTCTGTAGTTCAATCAAATAACAAGTAAAAGGAACATTTTTTCCTCTGTAGTTCAATCAAATAACAAAGTAAAAGGAACATTTTTTTTCTCTGTAGTTCAATCAAATAACAAAGTAAACGGAACATTTGTGGGTTTACCTGTTGAGCTCGAATGGAGGCGGCGACGGCGTGGCGTCTATGCTGGTCCATTGGAACGGAACGTACGATTGAGGATGGGAAGTGATCGGGCTTGGGTTTGGGTTTGAGATTCAGCGATGCGGTTCTCGGAGAAACTAAGCCCTCCATCCTTAAACTTCAACTTCGCCGTTTGTATCTCCGGTGAGTTTCAGAGTTGGGTGGTGAAGATATGAAGCGGTCAGGGCGCAGGGGTAGAGTAAGAAGATGCGAAGGCCATCATTTAAACGTGTTCCTTGCTCCGTTGAAATAATTCTCTAATTGCAAATATTTAATATAAAATTTTAGGCAATTACATTAATACATTGTAGAGTAAACGATTTTATTACACCCAAGGTTTGCCTTATTTCGACCCCAAAAGTTTTAAAATATTACTTTTTCACCCAAAGTTAATATTCTGTTACAACCCAAAGCCTATTCCGACAGTAAAAATTATTTTCATCACTACCATTTGAACCTCTGATCTTCTCTATATAAAACCCCTCTTACTCTAGTATCTGATTTCTCATCGATTGTTGCTACCGCAAAGCTAGAGTTTCCTATTCTTAGTTGATTTTCAACTAATTCTAGTGTCAAATATTCAATTGGTTAGCAGCATTCGATCCACCAGCCTTCACTCTTTACCCTAGCTCCTAGTAACTCGTTGAATGCTGGTTGAGAAAGTGAAATATATTTTGGGTATTAACGAAACATAAACTTTGTGTGGAAAAGTGATGTTTTGAAACTTTTTAGGTGGTAAAGTATAATTGAGGCAAACCTTGGGTGGGAAAGGGTGTTTACTCTACATTATATTACAAAAAAAGTAAAAAAACCCAGAAACCTAACCCTACCTACCTATCCTCAGCTCCTCCAAAATTGCCAAGTAACGCACAAAACAATAGGGTAAAAGAGTCATTCTGGAAAGTCAATTTTTGAAACATTGAGCAGTTCAGTTGCAGGCTTGCAGCGTATTATTCCTCGGCTCCTCCTCCAAATTACTAAGTAACGCCCTAAACAATAGGGGTAAAAGAGTCATTCTCCAAAATCAATTTTAAAACATTGGGGTCATTTGGATCATGGGTATATGAGATATAGGGGTAATCTTTGTTTATTTTGCAAGATTCTTGTGTTTGGTTTGCAAGTAATAAAATATTACAATAATTTTTTATTGTAAATAGTGTTTATTATTAGTAATGTGGGAGATAATCTTATCACCTTGTTAAAGGGTGTTATTAAAATATTATCGAGGTAATCTGATTTTTCTACTCATTTTGCCATTAATTAAAAACTATTTCGAACACAATTACCCTCAAATGTTTACCAAATAACAAACCTAGCCCCCTACATTTGAGAAATTAGCTAAAACATTCCAACCACAAAAAAGTTTAAAAGTTAACAAAATACCCTCGGCCATCCAAGACCACCGTTGGCTGTGACTCACCACCACTAGCGTCAGTCGCCATAATAGTGCACAATCGGTGAGATCTGGCCGATCGTGTGTCGGTAAGGCCTTTTCGGACCACGGATCACAGATTCATGGCCGAAAACGGCCAGATTTGACGTTTCCATGGCCATTTCACGGCCAAAACAGTTTTGGCCGTGAAATGGCCATAAATCTAGTTGTTTTCCTGCCATAGATTTGTGATCGATGACCATTTTCGGATTCGTCAGTGCACGACCGGCCAGTCATTCACCATTTCGTTGACTGTTGGCAGTGGCGGTTGGCTGCGGATAGTGGCTTGGGGTGGATGGGGATGATTTTGCTATTAATTAAAGTTTTATATGGTTAGGGTATTTTAGTAAAATTTCAAATATTAGGGGTTAAAAAATAATTTCAAAATAATAATTTAAAAATGAGGATAATTTAATTCTATTTAACATAGAGCTGAGCATTTGGGACCGGGCCCAAAAGCCCAGCTCCAAAACCCGGTCCTAGAACCGGTCCTTGAGAGGACCGGACCTAGGAGGCCTGGTCCCATTAAGGAGGAGGGCCCGAGCCCTCCACTAGGCCCTCCTCCGGTCCCAGGCCTGGGCCCAAAAAAATTTGTATTTTTTCAATATAGTGCCTTGCCAAATTACATAAAACCCCCTATTAATTTTAAAATAAATATAAATTACGAAGGCAAAAAGAAATTTTACGAAATTTATAAAAAAAAAAAAATTCTTCCAGGTCTAAAAAATTTATAAAATTTACCCTTAAAAAATACTAAAAACCCCCTATAAAATTTTGTTTTGCCCCCAAAATATAAAAAAAATTGAGTGAAAAAAATAAATTATCCAAGCCCCATGGGATCGGTCCTAGGCCTATGGGACCAGTCCCGACCAGGCCTAAGGCCTGGTTCGGGTCCTGGTTTTTCTCATAGGCCTGAGATCGATCCCAGGCCTAGGCTTAGGCCCACAAGGGATCGGTCCCTATCTATCTCTAATTTAATATATTCACTTATTTATCATCTTAATTAAACATATTATTCACCAATTTATACAAGTGGATTAACATATTTTCAATAATGTTGGACGTGATTTTTCTTCGTGCTAATATAATATACCTCCAATAAAAGACGACCCAAACGGTTATTAAGATTTATAAAGTAGTTGCAGGCTTGCACCGTGTGTTATCAACAGATAAGACTAGTCAACAGTATTATGCACGGTGTGTCTTCTTAAAATCAAAGAGAAACGCCACGTTGCACCCCTATGATCCGTTGATAATTAGACACCAGTGGGCCATACAAAATCAGCTATAATCAGAGATATGCTCACAACAAAACTTTTGATACACACGCTCCACCTGAACACTAAAAAACACTGTCTCGTAACTCATTGACATAAAATAAATTAATAATAACGAAAATATAAAAAAAAACCTTCCTTCAAGATCTGTTAATGAGAATCTGAAGATCCATTTCGTCTTCTTTGGAAAGCGTTTGAGAGAGAGAGAGGGATGGGGTGTACGTTCTCCGGTCTAAACGCGCTGTACGACGCCGTTAATGGCGGAGGGGACGTCTGGATCAACGAAAACAGGTTCAGGATCTTGCGGCAGCTCGGCGAGGGTGGATTTGCCTACGTCTTTTTGGTCAAAGAAGTCATCACCGACACCTCTTCTGTTACCTCCGGTGGTCTCGCCAAGAAAGTCAAAGACACGTCTCACCTCTCCGGTTCGTTTATGCGAATTCTTTAATTCACCGCTACTGTAATTGAATTTTGGATCTAAAACGATTGTTTTTTATTCGGTAAATTTTGGAAACATTTGTGTGAATTTAATTGATTGACGATCGATTTGTTATGTAGCTATCGAACTGATTGAAGATCTTGGATTATGAAAGTGAAATTGAAGTGAATCTTGGTAGTTATGGTATTGATTTGAATTTGATTACAATGCAGATGATGGAACTTATGCAATGAAGAAAGTTCTGATTCAGAACAATGAGCAGCTGGAGTTGGTGAGAGAGGAGATTCGTGTTTCGTCTTTATTTAGTCACCGAAATCTGCTTCCGCTTCTTGATCACGCCATAATTGCTATTAAGGTATCTTCTTATGAGTAGACATAGATGCTGTAATGTCGCAATTGAAACTGCAAATCAATTGCAGTCAAAATTAGGTGATTAAATGTTCGTTCGATTGGTATATTTCTATCATTATGGAATCTATGCCTTATGTTGTGTATCGGATTGAGAGAAATGTCTAGTTAACTAATTTAGGAGCTTTTAAAAATAAGCTTGGAATGTTTAGGTTCAGCTTAAATGGTGGACTTGCATCCTTTGTGATCCTGGAGTAGAATTGGCGTTGATTTTGATAGTGTTGTATTGTTAATGGTTTGCATTTTGAAGGACTTATGGTGTTTTGTGTCATCCTGGGCTTGAAACAGTGTACTACTTATATGTTATCCATGTGCCTCCTTTAACACCTTCATACGATTGAGTTTATCTGAAAGATTTATTTTTGTTGGTTAGAATAACCAAGAAGGATCGTGGAATCATGAAGCATACTTGTTATTTCCAGTTCATTTGGATGGAACCCTACTGGACAATGCCAAAGCTATGAAAGCAAAGAAGGAATTCTTTTCTACATCAGATGTTCTCCAAATTTTTCGCCAGGTGAATAGCAATCTAATTTATTTCTTAGTAGTTTTCCTTCTGTGATGCAAACTTGTGGGTAAAGTTGTTTCTTGTGGTGGCAATCCCACAGGAGAAGAGAATCAGATAATGCTCCCTTTAATTAGATATGTTTTATCAGAATTGTCTTTTCTCCTCTTGTCTTGGGTATATACATATATATATTGCATTGCAATGTTTGGAATTTATAGGGTGCTTTATGTTGGAGAATTGCTTCGGTTTTTTTTTTTTTTTGTGTTTTTTTCACTAAGAACTTCAGCAGTTGTCTGCTAAAGTGAATGTGTTGTTTGGAGTAGAGTTGTTTAGCATTTGGTTGTTCAGTGCAAATAACTTTAGGAGCTTTGAATCTTCTTTCCTCTCCCTGAATTTTGGCGGGTAGTAGTTTAGGTGTATAGTGTCAAATATTGATTAACATTTGCTATAATCTATTTTGACAAAGCAACATCATTGTCACAGCTTTGTGCAGGACTCAAACACATGCACAGTCTTGAACCTCCATATGCTCATAATGATGTCAAACCTGGTAATGTTCTTATTACTCATAGAAAAGGCCAACCGCCTCTCGCAATATTGATGGATTTTGGGAGTGCTCGACCTGCAAGGAGGCAAATTCGGTCTCGTTCAGAAGCTTTGCAGTTGCAGGTGCTCATTACTCTTGTTTTCTTTCCGGTATTCCATAACCTTACTCTGAACCATTGTTACAGTGCTAACAATTCTTTTCTCAAATTTTTTTTCTGTTTTTATTGACTATTGAAAATACAATTTTCTATCATCTTGTACGATGCTAATGGCTGGATTTTGGGCGGTTATTGTATAGGAATGGGCAGCTACACATTGTTCCGCACCTTACAGGGCTCCTGAGCTGTGGGACTGCCCAAGCCATGCTGATATTGATGAGAGAACTGATATTTGGTCACTAGGATGCACTTTATATGCAATAATGTGAGGACTGATCCTTCTCTTTACATGTGTTTTGATAGAGAAAAACTGTTTTGTTGGTCTTGTCGTCTTTACTGGTTTGCCAAGAAATTGATTGTTTTGCCATTTTTTGTTTGGTTAAGGATACTTACTACATCCATTTTTTTTTTTTTTAGACATCCGTGATTAAAGCTTTAATAGCAAATAGAAAAAAGATCACTTCAAATATACTGTCGAGTAATTACTTGTGTTCTTACTTTTGTATGTTAGGAAGTTCTGTATGTGGTAGTGGCAAAACATTAGAATGAGTTTTTATATGATGTTTTGGTGTTATATATGTAATCAATTTATGTAAGCAAATTTGGAAGATATTAATGCATAATGGTTTTAGCTAGCATGCAACTCAATATTAATTTTAACAAAAAAAATAATTACTTGTGCTGACACCTAGTTGAGGACTAGATTCTGCGTTTAAGGTATGCAGAAACTAAGGTGAATGTTTTTTTTTTCCCTGTGTATCCTGCTGGCAATGGCAATATTCAGAAAATGGACTGTTTTTATTGAAGTTTAAATCTATTTGATTTCTATAAACATGTCCTTCATTTTTCCATTTTGCTGTTGCTTATGGCTGATTTATCAGGTATGGAGTATCTCCATTTGAGTATGCACTAGGAGAGTCTGGAGGAAGCCTGCAATTGGCTGTTGTAAATGCACAAATAAAATGGCCAGCTGGACCAAATCCCCCATATCCAGACGCTCTCCACAAGTTTGTTACATGGATGCTTCAGTCTCAGGCTGCAGTTCGCCCCTGCATCGACGATATCATAATTCATGTTGACAAGTTGATTGTAAAATTTTCTGAGTGAGATGATGTGGTAAAAGACAGTGGAATACACGGGTTGACTGAGTAAACTTTGGCAGATTGGGCTATAACCGCAGGTCATCCAGCACATATGTTGTAGTTAGAAGTGGAAACAGAAGTGAAAGCAATACCAATTTGAAGTTAAAATATTGCACAGATAATTGCATTTTGAAGTAATTTTGGCAGTTGTGCATTGAATCCATATTATTAGTGTATTGTTTTTGTGGCAACCATTTAATTTTATCATCTGTAATTTATTAAAGTTCAGATCTCCTGTTGCACACCAAGATTCATTTGTGTAGTAAATCCACAATAATTTGTGATATGATCTCTTAATTTTTGTTTATAGTTAAGGGCTCTCTAAAGTTAGAATTAACTGAGCATAACATGATCGTTACTACAATGCCTTTTTTGTTAAATTTAGGTTGAGTTTATTTTCATGTACTAAATATGTATATGCATTTGATCACCCGGGTCGGATCTTTGCAGTGTACATGCATTTCCAGTTGATCTCCCACGGAAGTACTTCCTTGAAGGATTCCGTTTTTGGGTATTTGGTAATTGGTGCTACGTAGTTCTTCAGCATTTCAAGGGGAGTAAACAACATATTCCCACTAGAGGTTTAACGATATCCCAAGTTGATATTTTTGGTTGTATTTATTTCAAATTTTCGTTCTTAAACTAATACTATTAGTGACTATTAAAGGTGATCAGAAACAGTGAATGAGGTTGACAAGTGAAAGTATGAGTTTTGTAGCTGAGGTTGAGGAGAGTCCAACAACAATCTCGAAAGTGATTTTGGACTTCAAAATTGGTCAGAAAAAGTAAAAAATTGTCAGCTTGGATGCCATTAATGTAAGCCACTTTTGTGTTAACATGAGTTTTTCTCAGCCAAAGAAAGCGTCGATGCACTTAAGCGTGCTAATGTATGCTGCATTATAGTAGAAAATTGGGAATATGTGAAAATAAAGGAAACGATGTTACTTCAAAGGTGAAAATCTAGAATAAATGCAATTAGGATATCAACTTGAGATTTTGCTAATCCTCGAGTGGAGATATGTCGTTTGCTCTTTGAAGGGAGATGAATGCTTTGGTACAGAAGGTGACAAGGGTTTGTCCAACAAGGTAAATCAGATTTACAGTCATTTCATTCAAAGCTGTCCAAATCCTGGTGGAGTAAGAGAATGAGAAAGACAGTGGATTATTTAAATTATTGTGTAATGCATTATAAATAAAAAAGGTCTGAGCATGGAAAGAAAGGAGTATCTTACAAGCGTTTGAGGTTGGTTGGTGGTATGAGCATATCAATGCATCTTTTAGGCTTTGTTCATGATAACACATAGTGGATTATGGTAGATTATAGTTTCTTTGAAAAAGGAGAAAATAAAGTGTTTTCCAGTTCAGAAAATACCATTAATGTTTTATTTCATTTAAATTTGGTGGTACTGGTAGCCAGGTAAACTCAAAAAACAATTAATTAGCTTGAATTTGGGCATCATCTATATCTAAAACTTGTCAAGCTTGATTATGGGAAGTTCACTTTGTGGCTGATCCTGAAAAACAGTACTAAATTATAAAGAGTAGCTCAGGGTCTTGATCTACACCCAGTGAATAAATTCAGCATCGCATCCAACCAAATAGAGCCATTGATTTGGGGGAAAGAAGCTGCATGAATGCTGACACCAATCCTTATCGCCAGTTTAGTGAACTTTATTTGTTCTTTTGCTTGGCCTATCCTACACAACATAGAAGTTGGTACATAATTTACATTAACCAAATCTTGAATTTCACTTCATAGATGAAGATTTTGGGTTCATTTCTCTTTGTCAGTTTCAACCTTCTTGGCACCAACTCAGGGCAATTTGGCCACCAATAATAATGCATCTTACTCATTCCTTTTTTCCTTCTAATATCCAATTGAGCAGTAAACCAAACTGCTTAAACTGTAACAGGAGAATCATTTTTAACTCCAGTTACAGCTAAAATTATCTGTGAGCTGAAAGCAACAAAGAGTGAACCCCCACAAGAACCTCTAGTACCATTCCCTCACCCACCTGGAAACACGGCTAGCCAAAAGATCATACACCAGGCTCTTTGAACCGCTAAAAACTCTTTTTAACACTTTTCACTTTTTGGATTCTCTCTTTCCCTTCCTTGCTTACTTACAGTGCCTCACTCTACCCTTTCCTACTTCACACCTTCCCCTACTCAACCAAATGAATTCAGTCATGGCTTGTACCTTGTAAAACAATTATGTTCAAAATGAATTCTGGTGTAGATGGCTATTCTGGCAATTGGGTGTGTGTTTGTGACACTTGTAAAGCTGCAGCCTGCACAATCTACTGCCACAATGATTCGGCTTACTTATGCAGCAGTTGTGATGAACGTATTCATGCTGCCGATTCCATGGCCTTGCCACATGAGCGTGTGTGGATTTTCACTACATGTCAGAATGCACCAGCAGCAGTTTTCGGCAACAAGGCTGATGCAGCGTCTCTCTGTGTCAACCCTTTGCCTGGTCACGTTTCGATACCTCCTGTCTCAAGTCTAGCGTGCGCAAACTCAAGTACATATCAGAAGGAACTGCCAGTCGTGATGGTAGACACAGCAGAGGAGAAAATCGATGAAGATGAAACAGATTCCCAGTTGTGACTTGAGCCTGAAGAAAACGACAACCAGACTAATGGTGGATTCACATACCTTGAGGAGCTAGATAAATCTGTTGGTATTAAAGATTACAACTCATGTACTGAGATTCTGTATCAAGATCAGAAGAATCAGCAAAAAATTTACAACGCTTATCAAGGGGACAGTGGCAGTGACGGCATTGTGCCTGTTCACTCTTCTGAAATTAAGGAGCAAGAAGGACACTGGCAACACCAACACCAGCAGCAACATAACTTTTACTTCAATAAGGAGTATGAAGCCTCAAAAGCTGCTTTCATTAACACTCCTTCAAGTAGTCAAAGCGTGAGATCACTTAATTATTACATCTCTTCATACCATTACACTACCCTATGAAGTTGAATAACTTGAATTCATGAACCTTGCTGGTTGCCGTTAGACGGATTATTGTTTTTTGTTTACAGCTTTGAAAAATCTCATATTGAGTCCTCTTATCCTTTATATGTTCTCTTCATAGAAGGGCCTTTTCTTTTTCCCCTCTTCAACTTGCTCATTCAGATTGATTTTAGATTAAATATATTCAGGAGCTCAGCTTTCTCTCATGGTTCCAGGAATTTCTTTATGGTTCCTTATTAAACTCGTCAGATTCAGTGGCATGTGTGTAGTAGTAATCCTTTTCAAAGCGTCCTAAGATGTAAGAGTGTAGGTAAGAATTACTACTATGCTTTCCTTGAAAAGGTAAGATGGTAAGTAAGAATTACTACTATGCTTTCTGCTACCCCTAAATAGAAGAAGAGAAAAAGAAAGAAAGAAGTTATGTTGGAATTGTTTATATACAAGAAAGCTTGAGACTTCAGAAACATTTTTAGTCAAAAATCACTCGTATGAGAAACTTTTCCATAGGATGTTCTTTCTTTTACATTTCGCAGTTCTTTTCATCCTGTATTACATAATCCAGGCCCATTCCAGCTTCTGCTCTAATTCTATAAACAGGTCCCCGTGTTTTTTTTTAATGCTGGGATCATACAGACGGCAACAATAAGTGACATCCCAAGTTCATACACAAGATATCCAAATGGGACAACTGATTTCTTCCCAAAATATTCACCTCTGATGCCTCTCCAATTTACTCCAATGAATAGAGAGGCAAAGGTCCTAAGATACAGAGAAAAGAAAAGCAAGGAGATTTAAGAGGAAAATAAGATATGCCTCCGGGAAGGCCTACACAGAGGCTCGACCCCAAGTCAAAGGCAGGTTTGTGAGGAAAACAGACATGGATTTTGAAGTGGGTGAGATGTTCTCAACAGAAGACGATGGCTATGGAATTTTTCCATCCTATTGAAAATAAGAGGGAAAAAAAGGTCACTTCTATGACTTAATAAATTCAGATTAGTGCCATTACTGTATCCCAATCTACTTCAATATATAGGAATAATAATTGCTTCTCTGCATATTCAAGTCTTAACCTTTCTATATCCCAGTAAATATGCAATTATGCTGGTATCGCATTACAAACCGATAAAAACAAGATGTAAATATGTTCCGAAGGTTTAGTCCAACAAGAAGTAAAGAACCTAGTTTCTGTACAGTGTTCTCTAAGAAAAGGCAGCTACACTTTATACTTTTCTGATGTGAAGATGTGCATAAAGCATAATAACGTTCACCCACATAGAAAGAAATGAGAAAAGGGGTCCTAACAAGGAGAAATGATAGGTGGCTACAAAGCACAGCAGTATCTAGCACCCACCATTTTTATTATTAAAGCTTGGCTGAGCTATCCTCCCTTCTGGTTAAGTGACCTTGTTTATCCCTTGCTCTCTTTTTATCTTGACGCATCCATTTCTGCAATACTATTGGTTAGCTTCCACAGGTGTTATATGTACTCACTGAACACTCAACCAAGGCTTGGCTTAGAAATCTACTGACAGTCCTGGAAGTTTGGAACTGATTATTGAAATCCTTTTACTCATTGCACTGCCATGATTTTCAAATTTCCACATCAAGTTTTGTTTCACTTATCTACATTTAATTATCATTCTTATTCAGATTATATCAACCAACTTTGAGTTGAAATGTAAGCCTAAACATTTTACAACTTCTCCAAACTGCTTTTTTCTAGCATAACTTTTGATGACATTAGGAAGTATGAGAAAGCTTTCTTCTAACTTGCAATGTTTTTATTGATTTGCGCGTCTTCTTCCTGATTTAGCCCTCTTGACAGTAATTTATTTGTAAGTGTAAAATCTGAAAAGGGAAAATATATTGCTCATCATGAGACAAGAATTATCTTTATACTACAAAATTTCTGAACTTGAATGAAAATTTCATGATTGAAATTGCTGAAGCTAAAGACAGTTCTCAATTCTTCATGTGTGTCCCTAGCTACAACTTGGTAAACATTTAAACTCATTGACTTGACCAACTTATTCATTTGTGTTTTTGTGAAAGGAAACTTTCTTCAAAGTCATTCTATTTTTGAACTTTCATGCAACATTCTTGATTCTCTCCTAAACCTCTGAGAACAGCAAGTTACTGACTCATTGCTGAAGTGGAATTCTCATAGCCTATATCACATTATCACTATTTTGGCCACAAACTTCCGTCCTAATTAACTTAAATTCAAACTTTAATGTCAAATAAATAAGGTTTCAAAGAACAAGTGGAAAAATTTTAAGAAGGCGCAAGCGCAGACCGGATTCAGATAAAATGCTCTTGCAAAGGAATCAATTGATCATGATAAAGCAGATCGGACAGATATTCTCTATAACAATAAAAGGGAATATAAGGGTTATCTGTTGGGTGGAGGAATCAATGATCAGAATCAAACCTCTAACTAAACGCCACGTTTGCTGATGCCTTTTTTCTCATTTTCCTAACATATAAAGGGAAATAACTTATCAGCATTTGACAGATGAATGAATTATAGATAACTCCAACTGCTAATATGACATCTCCAGTAACTGCAGAACTCTGAAATGGTAACCATCATTTATATCATTGTAACCATTGATTTCCATTCAACAGAAGATTATGCATTTAGAATCTTTTTTCCTATCAGAAAGAAGAAAAGCAATAGTGATCAACAAGAAGCGAAGAGCCAAGTCTCAGTAGGAGGTTTGAAAAGACAATTGTACTTTTCACCTTTCATGTGCCAAAGACAATAGTAGAAACAAAGCTTTACTACATGGAAAGAAGAGGAACTAGTGGCTCTCCTAGTTTCAATGCTTGGATGGATCGAAAATTCCATGATATCTTCTTATCCAAGTCCATTCTACTAATTTTTTTCCAAGCTTCATTTGGTACGCCTCATAGCTGAACTTAGAGATCACTCTTTTTGCATATACCAGCATTGCCATTGGCTGGCATCGGTTCTTTTTTTCTCCACTCAGAAAAGCAATGTTTTAAAAACCGACCTGGGACAAAACCCGACAAGCTGGCCGAGTCTCGGGTCGACCGGTTTAACTAGGTGATATCATCATACTGACATCAGCAATATTACTGTTCACAGAATGCCAAATTCCAGAATTTGGATCCAAATCATAAACTCCTGAATAAAAAGTCCTTAACAAAGCATCATCAAACATCATTACATCAATAATACAACAAATTACAAATCAAAATAACAAAATGAAGAAAGAAATCACATAATAGTTTCAACACTTCAACATTCTAACAAAAAATGATCTTCACCCAATGGTCTTCAATCCACCATTTCATCCTCAATTAAAATTCACAGTTCACACATCATCTGATAGATGATCGTCATCATTATTAACATCAGCAACATCATCTACAAAAAATTCTAGCAAAAAAGGAAAACCATAAGTTAAATCTTCCCATTTAAACTAATTGAATATAAACTAGCTACTACCAAATTGAAATTGCTTAAAAAATTGGAAATAACCTTCTGAAGCATCTGTTGAGTCATAATAAGAAGGGTGATCACCACCATCTATAGGAATAGCTCATTCTCCATATAATGATTGTACCAATTCATCATAATTAAGCTCACCAACCTCCTCTTTCTCATCAATTATCCACCATTCAGTTTTATCAATACTCTCATAATCAATAAGATCATAAGTAATTTTCTTGTAACAACTCTTAAAATAGCAGAATTAAATATTCAAATCATAACCAATCAAGACATCAATGAAAATAACAAAATGAAGGCGGCTTTATACCTATTTTGCAAACACAAGTTATGATGAGTGAAAACCAAATCATTTAACCGTGGATGCTCTAATCTGTTCCTCTTTTTAGTATGTATGCGTTAAAAAACTCTCCAATTTCACTCACATCCGGAAGAGGCAGAAGTTTGACTTAGAATTTTGATTGCAAACTTTTGCAAATTTGGAGCACTAAACCCAAATGTGCTCCACCATTCATCTAATTGAGAATAAAAGTATAAATTACATAAGAAATAAACACAATTTCATAACTTATAAATTAGACTTAAAAAGTTAATAACTATTACGTACCCAACCGTGTAGTTTTGCAAGTTTGAAGAGCAAGCTCATGAGAAAAGCTTTCTAGACGGTCTCGATATAATCTACTCTCCTCCAGTAACGTTGTCTTGCTCATTTTGAATGCACTTGTTTTACTGTCAATAGTGTCAAGGAAACCATACATGACCTTAGGTTTTTTGGAAAAAGTATCTTCGTCATATTTAAAACCATGATTCAAATAATATGCTGCTGCATGAATATCACGACACAACATCCTATCCCAGCACATCTTAATAATTGTTGTATAAGGCTTGTACAAATTTTTATTGTTCTTAAACAACATCTTGATCCCCATCCTCATTCTGTACATGCTATCATACACATGTCCTATTGAAGGCCTCTCATCTGAGTTTACAATCCGGAGCATACGCATCAATGGACTTACAGCTTTGAAAATTATACTAATGTCATCCCAAAACCGGTTATCTAGAACTATGGAAATGAAGGCTTTGCCTTTATTAGTTTTTGCATATCGAGACTCCACAAAAGTTATATCTATCACTGTAGATTACAAGTCATGTTTGTGCTGATGTAGGTTGCTCAATGCAATAAAAGTTGTGGCAAAACGGGTTGCACCTGGGTATATAATTTCTGTCCAACCCTGTTCAAGTGATAGACAATAGATGTTAGTACTTAGTAAATTATTAAAATATGTACATATATAACATGACTTGACAATGTAAATTATAAACATATGAGGTAAAGATATATAACCTGTTTTTTCCTTAGCAAAGCTAGCACAAAGAAATGATTATACACAAACTTTATAACCTCAGATGCACGTTTCGAAAGGTTAATTATGTGACTCATCTCAGCTATGTCTTTCAACATCAAATTAATACAATGTGCTGCACAAGGAGACCAAGTAGTACCGCTATATTTTTCAGATAACATTCTTCTAGTAGCTTTATAATTATCTCCATTGTCAGTGACAAGATGAACAATATTATTTGGTCCAACCCATAAAGCTATTTCCTCAAACAAGCTGAACAATGTTACAACATCCTTTACAACATCTGAAGCATTCACTGATTTCACAAAACACACTCCTTTAGGACAGTATACTAGAAAATTTATTAGCGACCTATGTGAATTATCTGTCCAACCATCAGCCATTAAAGTACATCCAACATCCTCCCAAGTTTTCTTGTAACCATCAATAAGTAATTGCACTTCTTTCCTAGCATCTCTCAATAAATTTACACGTAAATTATGATAAGTTAAGATTTTATACCTAGGACCAATTGCAGTTATAGTATCCACCACAGGTTGAAAATAAATTGAATTAATAACATTAATTGGGATGCAAGAATCATGAAATAACCTTGCAACAGCCATGTCCACTCTCCACTTAGCTTCTTTTCCAGCTAAAACACTCTTAATTGAGGGCTGAGACTCAGGCTTAGTCCTCGGAGCAAAATAGTCACCTATCCCAATAGATCTTTTTCTCTTAGTGCTTGAAGTTGAAGTTGGAGTTGGACATGGAGAAACCTCTTCACACTTTTGTTCTTCATCTAACATATCACCCTCAAATTGTTGTACACTAGCTCCATAAGAATTGACATTCTTACAAAGTTCAACTTTTTGTTTATTCTTGGCCCCAATTTCATTTAGTGCTTCTTCAATCTTGAATTTAACATCGAAAGGAGCTTTAGAGCACTTTCCAACTTCTCTCTTTATACTCGCTATATGCAATTTCACTCGGTAAATTTCTCCACCTCTGATTATCTTGCCACAGTAAAGACATGTTAATATCTTCTTCCCATTTTCATCCACGCCCTCATTAACATGTCCCCATGCTATATCATTTCTTTCTCGAAAAGATTGTGAAACATCCATGGAAGAAGATTGTTGACAAGACCTAGATGATGACATATTCTTTGTCTTTAATTTTGATCTCTACCCTGACGACATAGATAACAAATAAGTTAGTATCGATCATAATCGAAAATATCTTCATAAATTAAATTAAAGATTCAATATGTTTGATTAATTCTTGCATGGCATATGTGTGTATTTTGTAAACATAAGAAATTCAAATACTTCAAGATGTCCACATAAAGCCACAGCATCATTGTGGCAATTAACCTCAATCAACCAACTATGTCTAATGGAATATGTTGCACGAAATATATATATATATATATATATACATTATTACTACATAATCATGCATTGTAAAAATTTATTTTCAAAATGTTCATGATTCCAATTTGGACATTCAATTTTGTGTTAAAACTTAAAAGAGTAAAGCTATAGTGTTTGTTAATAATTAACCCTTATTATTTTTCATGTGTGTGCTGAACTAAAGAGAAACATTTTCTTGTTTCTTTGTTTGCTGGTTTGTCTTACGATACCTCCCTGCTCAGTCTTCAGGTAATATACTAATATGTAATAACTAATATCTTCATTCTTCAATACTCAAATCAAGTGTTCATTCATCATCATTGACTCCTTTTTATTTAACCTTAAAAAAAAGAAAAACGAAATTTCAACAACCTTAACCCGTCACTTTCCATGAAATCAACATCTTTAATTTAAATCTATCAGCCTATTTAAAAGCAATTCCACCAACAACGCCTTTATAATTTCATACATATAAATAAACAAAAGTGCTAAAATTCTATATGCAATTATAACTCATACTCAATGAGGTTACCCATCCAAATTTTTAACATGTAAGTCTCAACATTCAACACTTCTCATTTTGCCCATTTCATAAACTTTTCTTCATCTGCTCTTCAAAAACAACAACATCACAACTCATTTCTATGTGTAACCAACATCCCAAAATATTAAAATCCAACACAAGCTCTAAATACTTAAAAGCCATAATCTTAAAGCTACATGCAAATTGAAATCTCAAACTTAAATAAGATTTTCAAGCACATTCTACTCATTATTTTAGCTCAACCGAAACTTTGAAAGGAAACTTCAAGCACTCTCTTCGAACTACTTGACCAAATATCCAAGGAAAGCAATTAATAAACAAAATTAAAGGTTTGTTGCTGGAATGTACATCAACAAAGCGACAGTTACTTGGTGCTGGGGAAGATGAGCTACAGTTGATAGTCGACTGTCGGAGAGGTGAAGCTCGACTATGAACAGTGTCAACTGTGCTGTGAAAGTTTGAAGAACTAATTGTTGAGATCAAGCAAATGTGAGGAAGAGGCGACAATTCCTGTGCAAGAAGAAGACGAGAACGATGGTGTAACTCCGAGATCGACGATGACGGATGAACAGAGTAGATCAACGGTGAAGAAGAGTGAAGAGAGGACAGAGAAGATCGAGAAATGGGAGGAGATTTGCGGTACCCCAGCTGGGGACGAACTAAGCAGTTGACGGTGAAGGCTGAAGCAACGAGATTCGACGGTGAAGGAGAGACTCTGGTGGAAGATTTCAGTTTCAGACCAAAAGTGAGAGAAGGGGGGGGAGATCATTGATATTTGCTTTGGGATGGGGGGTTTAACTGTTTAATTTATATAATATGAGTTTAATTTAAATTTTAAATTTTTTAAATTAGCTAACCTGGTTTTTTTTTTTTTTTTTTTTTTTTTAAATAACAGTTGGACTGGCAGGTGCTACAGTGCACCGGTCCAACCGCAGGTGCAACTAGACAAACTCATAATAACTGGTTTATGCCTCACCCGGCCCGACTCATCGGCGGGGTCCCGGTTGAACCGCCTGGGCCGGGCTGGGTTTTAAAGCACTGCAGAACAGTACTCAAATCTTTAGATACTTGTTTGATTGTGAGTGGTATTACAACTCAAGCCACCAAACTAGCCATTATATTCTCAAGAAAAGAGACACCAAAAACAAAATGACATATTCTTCCTGGATAATTTCTGACCTCATGCTTCTCGCTCTCAGTTCTTTTGGCTAGGAACACTTTATGGTTTTCATTCTTGTTAGTTAGGGAAGAAATTTCAATCATTGAAGAAAGATGAAACAACATAGGGAGAGGGATAACTTCTCCAAAGTAATAAACCAAAGAGATTGCGAAAGGAAAAAAAGATTAAAAAACTAAAAAAAAAAAAAATTAATCAATTGACGAGGCAGGCAAGAGTCAGAGTAATATTGCAACAAAAGGGCTCTCCTTATAGCGGTGTCAAACTTCAAAATGGTTACTCCAAGTATCCATCATGTTTATTGATACCTGAAATGAGAAAACCATGTTTATACCATGCACATGATAAGACTATGACCGGCAGAAGATTTTGACATTCATATGGTAATCATGGTAAAATATTTCCTTTTATCAGGATGTTATTCAAGTACCCCTACCAAATGGAATATCAATATTTAAAAAAAGTTATGGGGCATGAATTTTTAAGATAATGAATGTGTCTGTCTATTATCTGTTAAGGCCTATGCATACCTGCCACAGTCCACAGATAACCAAGGGTCATGGAAACTGAAATCCCCAGAAAAACATCCCACAGATAACCAAGGGTCCCCAGAAAAACATCAAGTGTACAAGAATAATTCCAAGAGACAACATAACTTTTGCCAAAGGCCCTTGATTTCTATTACCACATTGTGGGACGCTTTGATAATACTCAACTTTATTTGCTATCCAATCTGTGATCTAAAACATATAAAAGCTATAAATCAACATGTAATATTAGCCAAGGTAAACAATAACGCTACTTCCTAATAAAACATCCTTGTTTTACCAAACGTCAAACTGATCTTAGATTTTCCAGTTATCAAGATGCAAAAACCCGGGGCCAAAGGATTCCTCTCTAAGAAAGACTCAAATATTTAGAAGCTTATCAAAGTTGCTATAGTGACGTATGCTAGAGCCTGAAGTTGTGATCAGTCACTAATTGGCTTAAATGAAATTTCATATGTTTAGTTCGTTTATTTCACAGGTTACTTGTACTGAATTGTCACACTCTGCTGTAAAATTCACATCTTTTCTATTTACATGTCTAGGGACACAAATAAAAGCCTCAATTAATTTGTTGATACATTTACAAATTGGTAAATATTCAAGTTCCTTACAATATATGTTGTGTTCATTTAACAAAACATATTACCTAATTATTTCGTAAACCAGATGAAGGTAAAAAACCAGGCAATAAACTATTTACAGATTTATGAATATTGCAATAGTGTCCCTGATGCCAAGTGACAAGAAATATTAATGTCTTCCATTGATATACTAAGTCATTCAGAGGAAAAAAAACAAGGCAAGAAAAAATCTATTGTTGTCACAATTACAGATATGTTGAGAGTAAACATTCACCCGGAAAGACTGGAAGGCGAGAAAAAAAACAATATTGCATGAAACAGAAAAGTCGTACAAAACAGGTGTATAGAATACAACTGTAAAAAATAAGCCAAATCTTGGGCCATGATTGAAGTCTATCAGAGAGTTAACCAAAGCTCTTTGTGTGTCTCATATGTGACTCGGAATGTCGAAAGTAATGTAAACTACAACAACTTACATGTGGAAATGAGATGATGAGCATGCCTTTGTTGAGTTCCATCTGCATGAAGGAACAAAAGGCTATTCATCTTATTAATGGAGGTAAAACACAAAAATTATTTTAAAGTAGATTATTTGTATCAAAGTGATTAAATTTGTGATTTTCTAAGCACCTTGGTATGGCTATACATAAACTTCATTATTCCTTTTTGATGGTCAGTCATCATGTTCATCCTCACCTTCGGAATCTGAACAAAACAAAGCCATTCAGGATCACAATACCAAAGGAGAGAGAAATTAACAATGATGTCTTTCGAGAACTACTTCCTGCATAATATATATATGCTCATGCCAGTTTAAATTTGGAATCTAAAGATTCATGTACAAAAATCATGCTCCTAACCTGAACGAACATCATCACCAAGCTGGCCTTTCGCCTGGATTTGCTCAACAACCATCCCAATCATTAACTTCCACCAATAAATGTTGACAACAAGCAAGCAGAATAGAAGAGTATTAAACAGATAATAAAAAATGGACCCATCCACCATGTGCTTCTCCTTGTCCAAGGTCAGAAGAACTTCATAGCTGTCATAAAAAGACAGAGTAACATTAAGACAGGACATTATGAGTGCAATTGTGATACATTAACTATTGCGTAAAACAATAACATCTTGACTGGTTAATGTTGTACATTTCATTATAAACATTAAGCTAAATTAGTGATTCATTGTTTCTTACCCTGTGCTTGAAAATCAAAGATCAGATAATAGAAATTCAACAAAGTTAAATGAGTTTCTGTTGTGCTGAAGGCTGAACTCACCTTGTACTCCGAAGTACCAAGAATGGATAGCAAATTATGCGAAGTATAGTCCAACAGAGAACAAAAAGAATGAAAGATATGCTAGCAATCTGTTCATAGCCACCATATTTTGACATCTTTCCAACTTCCAGGAAAACATCAGTGGCATCATGGAGGGCTAAAGCAACTGAACCAACACGAGTGAACCTGGCATAGGAAGAAATCGACATAAAGGTTCAAATAAGAGAAACAAATTATGCATCAAAACTAAACATTCAGGAGAAGTTCTGCATAGTGCCTTTTACATAAAGTTATCCATCAAACTTTTGTTGTACCAATCAAGATTTAGCTCAATTCGTCATTAATGCAGTACAAGATAAAAGATAAATAAATGAAAGAAAGAAAATCTTCATGATGGAGCCTCTTGGAGTACCTAAATACGTAAGACAACACAACAAGAATGATAGTTGCTACATGATGAGTCATCGACACCCCAAAGTCTGAACGCCTTGTCTCCCACAAGAGCAAAGCAAATATGGAGTATGAGTAGAATCCAGCAACATACATGTACAATCCCTTCAATTTCAATCTAAGCATCAAGAAAAGAGCCAGTCAACTACCTTGGATAGACATGACATGCATAAGAATCTTAGAAAAAACAAATGGATGTAAAGATCAAGAATCAGCAAAATCAATTTTACTCTTAACAAAAATATATAATTTGCATATGGGGCTCACTTAATTTTCTGGTCAGGCCAAACCTGATCTCTGGGACCTACCCAAAAGTACTTGGTATCAGTGAACCAAGGCTCATCATAGGAAACATAAATTACCAAAAGTTCTGCAGACAAAAAATAAACACATTTCCATGCTGACTCTTTAAATTTATTGAGTTTCTTCCTCCTAATATTTGTCCCAAAATCAAGTTTGGTGTGCCCCTTCCCAAAAATCAGTCTTTTTCCCAAATTCTGCAAAAAAAACAAGAGCAGCTGATTCCTATCAAACAAAAGGAAATCAAATATAAAATTGAGTAATCAACTTCAAAAGTATAGAATATTATGAAACATATAGTTCACAGTACACACTCATATTGGATGACTATAGATGCTAACTAAGAGAAAGAAACTGAAAATGAGTAAAATCTTAGTGTCAGGCTTCATGCAAATGTCTTTCACCTAAAGTGTGCCTACATAATCGAGGGACTCAGGACTTGTAAGCTAGCCTAGACTTATTCACTACCAATCCAGGATGTGACAAAAAACCTTCTCATTTATGTTATTCCTTAGACGGCCAGACATGCATTTTTTTTTTTTTTTTTTCACCAGATGTGTTCGAGCTAGTTTACGCGCATCTTGACTAGTCCTTCGACCCGACAAGGCTTCCGAAACAGGGCAAGTCTTACGGTCTGTGGCCAACAATATTACAACCGTTCTTGTATTCAAACTTGAGACCACAGGGGGGACAAACTCCTTGGCCCCAACTTTTACCACTCGGCCAACCTATTGTTGTTCAGACATGCATTTCTTATTCCACAATTCCATGTAGCTTGGTGTGTAACTTCTGACAATATAACCTAGCCATCATTGAAATCATGGCATATAGTTTACAGGAATATAGAATTTCCCTTAAATCCATGCCGAACTCAAGTACATATGCATCTTTAATTATATAAATGTGTGTTATGGATTAGGTTAACACTTCAATCTGATTTATACTCACAAATCATTTTCCAGAATTATGCATTTTGTAGGTTAAACAGTTCACAGTTTCAGCTATCATCAACTAAGACTGTCTTTTATAATTTAATCTAGGCCCAATTCAAGTACTAAGAGTTTCTACATATGAAAGAATTTAAACACACATTCCATATCTCACGGAATTACATTCAATTGAACACAAAGATTAAAAATAGCAGCTCAAATAGTAATCATAATACCACCGCGAATTGCAATAAACAAACATAAAGAAATAGTAGCTTGTTTAGTAATACAATCAATTAAAGAAGTTGCCAGTAATGGTACCTCAAAACTTAGGTGTCAAGAAAGAGCCGAATGCAGGAAGAAGAGAGCAAAGAAGGGAAGTACCAGAAAGTCTTGGGCAGCTGGGTCTGACTCGGACTCCCAGTTGACCGAACCAGAGCTACTCAAAATACCCTTTAGATCAGTTGATAGTTCAGGGGAGGAGATAGCAATGGAAGTGAAACACAAAAGAAAGTTACAAACATTTGTTCACCTTTTCATGTATGGACCTTTTGGGAAAAACCCACCCAGAAATTTAGTCAAGTCAGAAAAAGCAATTTGGCGGCAGATTTGACCGTTATCTCTGCTGCTTTTCAGGCCCAAACTCTAATGACCCATGATCTTTTGGGCTTCCTTAGCGGCTCAGTAATTTCACCATTGGATCAAAGTCAAAGGACACACTTTATATAGTAATTGGTAAATGATGATCTAATTGTTCACCTCCTTTGGATATGCGAAGTCTGTCTTCCCATGGGCTTGGCCTTCAACCAAAAATTTCTTGAATTTCATATGAATTTCTTATTATTAAAGGAATTGTGTAGTCCTTGTGTGTTTGGAAGATTGCATGATATCCCAGATCCAAGATCCCAAAACTTAGAATATAAGTAAGATGATCAAAAAAAAAAAAAAAAAAAAAAAAATCATACATAAAATATTCATAGAGTATATGCCATGTTTTCGGCTTTCTATGTCTGTACATATGAATAACAATTCATAGTAAAGCATTTGCTTAAAACCAAATTTAGGGACAAGATGCTTTGACATGATAAAACATCAGATAAGACTAATTAAAGAATATATATCAAGATGAATGAATCAGCATGTAATGGTTACTGAGTCACTGTTGTTTTATGTTGAATTTGGTTTTTTTTTTTTTTTTTTTTTGGCAGAAGTCTCGTTCGCTAATTTATCCTCCTATAAGTAGAGGATGATAAGTAATATAGAAGAGAAAATTCTCAAACAGGTTCATATCTTATATCCCATTTGCTGTAACTTCATATATATTGGCCCAATCATAGATATGTTGCCAACAGGCAGTCACTCAGATGACAGTATAAGATTCAAATGGAACTTCTCTACCGAATGCGTCTTTGGCGGCCTCATTCTTCTGTTTGTTTTTATCACTCTTCTTTTGTTGAAGCTTTTATTATCTCAGCCTAAACCAGTTGCACCAACCCCACCAAGTGAACCCAGAGAAAAACCTCAACAACTCAACCTCCAGATAGATAATGATGTGCCTGAAATTGTTGTCATCATGGCTGGAGAGCAGAACCCTTCTTACATAGCCAAACCGGCGCCTTCGACTCAAAATTCAGAACAAGTATGACATCTCTTGATGATGATGGTCACAGCTTAGAGACTTTGATGATTATTCTTTTGATTGTTGCCAACAATTAATGTACATATCTTGCAATTTTTAGTCCAAATCACAGCAGGACACTATTTATTAATTATATTGACTAAACATTATACAAAAAACTCTGAAAAAATGACTATGCATATCCTGATTCTTTCCTATTCCTCATATTAAGTATCTGATTCAATGAATTATCACGTCTCTGCTGAGTCATTATTGATTATGCTAGAGTCGGTGAACCAAATTCCTTTGGGAAATTTCTATGAAACCGATGCCCAAATCTTTATGATTTTACACCTGAAACTCTTGTGAAAAAGGGTTTTTAAAAATATCTGAAAAAGAGCAAATTCCTGAAGGCTCTGGGAAGTTGGAATCCCTCCAACAGAAAGGGATTCTCAGAAACCAGTCAGGAGGGAATCCAAACACTTTAGTGGGAAGAGAATAATTAGTCGGCTAAAAGGAATATTAATTTTGATAAAGATCCATTAAGCGAAATTATAATCCCTATTCTGCTACTTGTACTATTCACAATATTCATGGATTACGTTAATTAGCCTTAACTTAATTAGAAAATGATAAATTTAATAAAGCAATGACAGGAATCAGTGCCCGTTCTTTTTACACTACTGTACTTGTGAGGAAATTAACCTTCCTATGCTTTTGGAAAATGATATATAAACAACCCCACTAATCACACTATTAAACTAAGCTCATGTTTCTGATAATGTGAGCAGAATGTTACCTTTATATCTTATTGCGTGTACAATCCACTATCGGGGTTCTGATATATGTATAAATTAAGTGCTGAATTCCACGTCTAGTTCAAGAAATTAAGAAGAAGAAGAAGAAGAGAGATATTATGAGGCCTGCAGGCATTTCCACAGCAAACGCCGGACTATTTCAATGGAACTCTCCATTGCCATACCTATTTGGAGCCTTGCTAATTGTGTTTGGACTCATTGCAGTGGCTTTGATATTTCTTGCTTGCTGTCACAACAAGTCCTCCGTGGAGTCGCTGAGCGAAAAAGAAGAGAATTGTAAGGAAACTGTAGAGAATCCGGCTTCTGTGGATGTGAAAATTGTTGTGATCATGGCTGGAGATGACCACCCCTCATATATAGCAAAGCCTTCTGCTCCAAGTTCCTAGCTGTATTCAACAATTTTGATCCATCCATATTTGATCCTAAAAGATCAGAACTAGAAGACATAAATCATATTTACAAAGTTGTAAATTAATTCTTTTCAAATTTCTAGTTTCAGGACTTGAAGCTTGTAGAGTTGTTCAACTCCTTTTGTGTGTAAATTTAAGATGAGGAATATATAAACCTGAAATTCCAATTTTCTTTGCTTAATTAAACTCTGTTTTGATTGGGTATTAATGAAGAAATCTAAAAATGAGCTGATTTTATTAAATATCGAAAAAAATTTCTGTAATATCATTTTCAAAGGCATTGAAACCATCAATAAATGAGGCTACATGATTTATTACATAAATAAACCTCGTTTTCACTTTAAGTAAATATCAATAAAAACAGTTTGGATTAACCCAACTTGAATTGTGTTGTGCGGGAAATCTGAAAAAGATAAAATCCCTTTTGGCACGTAGATATCTCGCGATATGAATCCTATGATCAAAGCCAAAGATCACTCTACTCTCCGTTTTATTGAATTTGAGTTCATCTCCAACTTACTCGTGTAACTGACATTATATATAAACCCACCAAGGTGTAATGGGAGGGAGAGAACAGGTTGCAGAAATTCGATTACAAACTCTTTTGTAAATCAAATTACTATTTTAACACATTTAATAAACAGTGGACATAGGTCTTGCGTTACAAGCAACCGAACAACTTAAAAAAATATATTTGTTCTTTATGTTTTATATTAGTTCTTATATATTTATTATCATATAATTCTATTACTGATCCATCGAGATCATACACACATTCTACGTGATCCTAACGCTATCAATCACATACCTTTGGTTGGTGCAAATTTCTTCATCAACAAATTGTAAATATGGAACCGGCTTTATAAGCAGAAAAAGGGGAATAGATTGTTTAAACTGGGTTGAGGGTTGACAAAAAGAATTAATTCTACAGTAGGTATTGGATTTGGGGTGTTGTTGCCAATATTCTTAAATAGTTAAAGGACGGTCCCGCATATTAAATCTTTCCTATAACTAGTGAAAGGCTGCTGGAATTGAATTATATAGAATCTTTAGCATAACAAGGACATCTTACTCTTTTAACGTTTTAGTGAATCAAAGTGGAAAAGGCATAATAAAACACAGTGGGAAACCAGGGAAATTAGTGTCATCTACCTTTTCCTTTTATTCCATCATTGATTCCCATCTTTAATCGGTATGTTTCATGAAAGCTTCTAAATGAATCTTTCTTTGACCTATTTAACATCTTTCATCAGTCGAGTGAAAAAGAAGAGTGTTTGCAAATTATAGATGGAGAGCATCCATATGTCGTGAGAACTTATAGAAATTAACAGGTAATAATAAGCTTATGATTTATCAATTAGGTTACCTTCATTCCTTTATATGAATATAGGTGAAAGCATTTTATGTAAAAGCCTACGTATATAGTAATTTGCAGAAGCCGTATGTAGTGAATCAACAATATTTATTGCTTTTATTAAAGGAATAATATCAGAGAAATAATCAACAGAAAAATGTTTTTTAAGCTTGGAGTAATTATTTATATCATCACATGATAATACAGAATAAGCTATACATAACACATCTATATAATGTTAAGTAAAACACAGAGTAGTTGTCTTCTTGCATTTAATCAAAAGCAGGCATCTAAGCAGCAGTAGCAACACCACCCAGCACAGCTGCCAAAAAATTAAGAGACGATTTAGTTATTCATATAATTAATAAATCACTTTAATTCATTATTAATTTTAATTATTTACCATCCTCTCCAAAATCCATCGCCTCTATTTTTGGTTTTAGGTTGAGGATGAGGAGGAGGAGGAGGAGGAGGAAGTTTATCGCCCTTCATCGGATAATTTGCTAAAGGTGGTGGTGGTGGATCTGCATGAGCATCAGGGTAGCTTAATTATTATAAACAAATTAATTTCATTATAAAGTAAAATAAAAAATTAAAAAAACAAAAAGGTCATATATATATATATATATATATATATATGGAAGCTTACCTTGAGCTTGCTTTTGATCACTCATGATGAATGTTGTGAATTATGAAGTTCTTGACATTGAATGAGTGGGATGAGGTTATTAAGGTTTCCTGAGATTAGGATTAGATGAGGATGAATTGATTTATTAATTGTGTAATGGGAAATATATTTTAAAAGAAAGGAGATTGTGGAGTTGTTATATCTTATGATAAAGACTTTATTATTAATCTTTTTAATATTTTAATTAGATATCTGTAATAAATAAACAAAGTGTCTCTAGACAATTAACACAAGTTGGGCTACTTTTGGGCCTATCTAATGGGCTTTGTATGGATCCCATATAAGACCCAATAACAAATGAATCTAATCAAGGTTTAATCTTATCATTTACTATATATTACCAAATTCTAAGCACTAGCTCATACTTGTATTTTATTATTTGATTTCTATTAATAGTTTATATATTTAAACTTTTGTCACATATTAACAAACAAATATTGTTACGATGCTGGTTAAGTCAGGTGCAATTCCTGTCAAATCGTAACCAAAATCGCACCGATCGTGTGCGGTTTGGCTGGATGGGGAGATGAAGAAGAAGAAGAAGAAGATGGGAGGAGTAATTTAGGGTTTTTTTTTTTTTGTTTTTTTTTTATATAGTAAAATGATAGAATTACCATTTGATTGTTTTTAAATTTATCATTCTATCCTTCTGTATTTAAAGTTGATGAACAGATATTAACGATGGTCAATTGTTTTGAAACTTTTCGAAAGAGAACTTTGTTTTTGGGCCAAACCTTGGGTGTGAACTCGTCCGTATGTCGGCCTAACAAAGTAGCAACACTAAAAAAGAGGCGGCTCCAGTGAAATAACACCTTTTAAATTATATATCTAGAAGGGGATATTTAATTCTCTTTTGTCACATCTTCTATAAGCAAACAACCCAATATTTTCAACATTTCACACTAATGCTGCTCCTAAAGTGGCAATACTATGAATAAACTTAATAATTTATTTTATAATATGTCTCATCACTGCTACCTATCTTCCTTAGTGATTCCTTTTTGTTAAAAGCAAGTCATTAGATTATCTTCAGATATTCATGTTTTGTTATGATATTTACATTAAAACATTATAATATAGGTTGAATTTAACCCTAAGAGGTTGGTCAAATGAGTAAGAAATTTTGGTCATTTCATTGACTTTTTAGGTTAAATCACCTTAAGATTATTTATCATATTTATGGTTTATCTGTAATATTAGATTTATATAGCGTTCAATAAACCTTAAAAATTAGTTGAGATACGTATAAGTTGACATGGACATCTCATACACTCTCTCACACTCACACACACGCGCATGTGTGCGCACGCTCACACACATATATATATTGAATTTACAATAATGCTACGGACACCGAGAGTTTTACACCGAAATATTGTACCGGCCTACGTGTAACATGCCTTTGATTTTTTAACAATTTTTTTCTAGTGAACGGCCGTCCATCAAATTTGGACAATCGTTCACTCATATGGACGCCCATCCATATTATATGGACGGGCGTCCCCATTTAATGGACGCCCGTCTATAAGTAAAATGGAATAAATTTTTTTTATAAAAGTTAGGGACGGTCGTTCATCCGTTATGGACGGCCGTCCCTTCATTTTGGACGAGCGTCAATTAGGAATGGACGCCCGTCCCTTAAGTTTGGACGGAATGGACGCCCGTCCATACTTTTTTTTTTAAAAAACACCTTTTCGCTCTTCTCCTTCTTCTTTGCCGAGCTTCTCTTCTCTCACCCCGGTTGGTTACCTTCTGTTTTGCTTTTAATATTGGTTTCATTTGGTGGTTTTAATATTGCTTTTACCTTCTTCTCTCACCCCATAAAAATTGCTGAGGAAGATAATAAACATCCCACACAGTAGCATCAAAAGGAAAATACAGGATTAATAAACCAGTTACAACAACTGGCTGTCAAAGGATCAACCAAAAAACAAAAATCCCAACAACCCAAACAACAGCCATTTCCATACATTTCTTTTCCGCTTGGTTTCCAAACCCACCATCATATCGACCAGGCAAGAGAATACAAGTTCTAAAATGGAGGTTAACAGGCAAAGGTGTAACCAGAACAGCCGTATTTCTGGCTAAGCTGGTGACTGGCTGCATTTTCTAGTCGCTCCCATGCTTCTTTCGCTTCTCAGCTACCAAGTTTAGCCTGCTTCTTCTTCCCTAAACTGAGAGTGGCAAGACATGAACAGCACGTCATCCATCTCTGAGAACATCTTTCTGACATTCAGAGTGAGGTTCAGCACTGCTGGTTCCAATGGTTTTGAGCGTTTTCTCTAAACTGGAATATTGACGCAGAACCACCCGCCGGTTATGTCAATCAAGTTGACAATTTGATCGTTGCTCCACAAAAATAGGGCCCTTTCAGCCACCTGAAGAAAATGAAGTTAGAGAAAATGAAAAATGAAGACTTCTAATAACAGTTTTTTTTATAAAGTGAAAATAATTGCGACGCCGCCATAAAATATGGACGAGCGTCCATTGTTTTTTTTTTTTTTTTTTAACAAAACATTTTTTATGGACGTCGTCCATTCCACTATGAACGACCGTCCAGGATGTATGGAGGTGCCGTCCAAAATCGTTGACGATCGTCCCTGGTATATAGACTCTCATCCATATATAGACGGGCGTCCATATGAGTGAATGGTCTCCAAATTTGATAGACAGTCATTTATTAAAAAAAATTGTTAAAAAAATAAGAGACGTGTTACATGTAAGTCGTATAATATTTCGGTACAAAATCTCGATATCCGTAACATTATTATTGCTGAATTTATAAGGTGAGGAGACATGGCTCTGCATAATAATAATTTAATATATTTCATTTAGTACAGGACGAGTTAAAAAAGTACCTGCACCTTACACAATTATTGGGAATTGATTAGTTGTACCAAACCCAATAAATAAATAGAACAAATTTTTTTACTATAACATAACCTACTTAGGATAAAAAAAATAAAAATGACTCAGTTAATACAAGTACCTGCCCTTCACCTTATGGGAATTGATTGTTGTACCAAACCCAATATAATAAATAGAACAAATTTTTTATATAACATAACCTACTTAGGATAAAAAAAAAAAAATGACTCAAGTTAATACAATTCATGGATCCTTGTTCACATCACAACCTTTTATCTTTTCATTTTTCTCATTCAAATGTCAATATATGTACTGTACTAGAAGCATTCTTTGAGTCTAGTTCTTCACTAGTCTAGATTCAAAGGTTAAGGATATTGTAAATATATTAATTGATAGTCTATTTGACATATGTAAATGTTATTACGTATACCTCACGGCTCAGATAAGGGGTAAATAAATGAGAAAACAAAAAAAAAAAAAAAATAAAATCAAACTAATATTCTTGTACTCTAGCATTTTTATTTGGAATCGTCACGTGAATCTGGAGAAGGATAGTTAAAATATTTAATATAATTAATAAAATCTATTTGAGATCTCAACCTGAATTTTAAGTCAAATATTTAAAACATTTGTAAATAAATACAATAAGTTATGGTGTCAACACAACTGGGTAAAATTACAGTAATTTTCACAGAAATTTGGAGCCAAAATAGAATGAAAATTCCAGCTTTGTTAATGTTGTCCCATGGGAGAGGTAAACCATATCTTGAAATGGTCACGTGTAGCCCTGTAGAAGGGCAGGTGAAGACGTGAATGTGATCTTCTTAAAAGACAAACAGCAAGAATAATGCAATGGGCCTAACATGTCTGATAATTCCGTGTAATAAGTCATGGGAGAGAAATTATTAAGTGGGGAACAGACAAACTCATGCTTAGAAGCTAGAAGCATGGAGACAACTATACCCCAAACCCACTGGATCTAAACTTTCCCTTAACCTCAATTTGTTATCATCAATCCTATCACCGATGACACCATCATCTGTGTGGTCACTTTAAGGGTTAAAATTCTGGGTCCATTCGTTCGGATACCCATACATACCTCGTCAAAGTGATATATATATATATATACCCATATTAAAGTCTATTTAATCCGTAGAGTCACAGAATATCTTACAAACTTAATAAACCAAGGTAATTGTACAATAGATATCTCTCTTATAAGACTTGAACAGAAGACCTTTTGGGTCTGGGTATATCTAACCTTGTTGACTAAAGAGTTTGTCATCCGACCATAAGGGGAGAGGTTATTTGTAGATATTATTAGCGCTGATGATTTTGGACACTTGTCTACATAGGTAATTTTGTCATCCCTGATTGGTTTAATCAAGAGTCTTTGTAAAAGTAATTAATGTGAATGAAGATTTACCTAACTTTGTTTTAAATAAGAGTAAACGACTTTTTCCCACCCAAGGTTTGCCTTAATGACACTTTCCCATCCAAAAAGTTTTAAATTATCATTTTTCCACCCAAAGTTTATATTATGTTAATATCCAAAATGCATTTCACTTTCTTAGTCAACGTTTGACCAGTTATCAAGAGCCAAGGTAAGAAAGGTTTTGTAGAGTAAATGCCGGTGGATCGAATAGTGGTAACTAATTGAATATTCGTCGCTAGAATAATTAGCCAGAAATAAGTTAAAAACAGGAAACCCTAGTTTTACGGTAGCCAGTAATTGGTGAAATCAAGTACCGAGGTCAGAAAGGTTTTATAGAGAGGAGATCGGATGTTCAAATGGTGATGACGGAGAGAATTTTTGTCACCAGAATCGGCTTTAGCCTTTAGGTAATAATGGAATATTAATTTTGGGTGAAAAAGTGGTATTTTAAAACTTTTTGGGTGGAAAAGTGACTAAGGCAAATCTTGGGTCGGAAAAAGTCGTTTACTCTTTAAAGAAGTAAAAATTAACATTGGTCAATTGTTATTGATAATCAGATTAACACTATTCTATCACGTTATTGAGTTCTATAGCTGGTTAAATCCAAAGTCAATGGTGTCGCAGGTGATTCTGAGTACATATCCATCCGAATAATTTTCTCATCCCTATTCGGTTTGAAATGTGTCCTATTTGACCAAAACTCATTTTAAACACAGAAATAATGAGTTTGCTCTGGTCAATTGTTACTGCAGAATTACATAAACCCTATCCTATCAACAAAAGCAATAATTGAGCTTTCCCTTTCTTTTAGTTTCTTGCCTGGAGGAGTAGCCTGAGAGCATGATCAACAAAAGCAAGAAAGGAGCACAGTAAATAGACTGTTGAAATGTCAAGGACAAACTGGCTTACCTAACTTGGATTTTCAGCATGGGATAAACGTTTAAGTTGTGATAGAAGAAGCAAAAGAAACTTCAATTCAAATTGAAGTTAAAGATAATTGCAAATGAGGTCATATCATATGTGAACAAAATGTCATTTCAGAATCAAAATAAGATACACACAAGTAAATTATGTGCATCTTATTCACTATTATCTGTCTGATCACTGTTATTTCACTCTCTTTCAGACCCCAGCCTCAAGTACTCCCTAAAATAAAACCAAACGACTATACATACTTCTAGCTATAGCTATTTATGTATAAGATATGAAGCAAATATTTGATAGAGTGAGATACAAATTTTCATAAAAACTCCTTACCCAATAACATAAAAGACATAGACATGGTTTTCTGAGGAAAAATTAAGAAGACAAGGCAACATCAAATTGGAGGAGGACAGAAGAGCAGAGAGAGGCAGAAAGATATTGTTGATAAATTTTTTAAAATATGGGGTTGTCATCGGGGGTAATCTGAAACCTGAAGTTCCAGTTGGGTTGTTTATATGATTTAACAGGTAAAAAGCCTGCACACTTTAATGAAAGGGAAAAGAAATAAAAGGCTAGTGAAAGAAAGAGGTCTTTCTCAATCTCTCCCAGCCTATATTATTTAAAACATATGGGTCTTATATTCTCTCTAGTTTTTGTAGACTGAGCCAATCTGTCTTTACATTTAAAGCATTCCTTTTATTAATGACAAGTGCAGAGCGAAGTAAAGAGAAGATTGAATAGAATCTTCACCCAATGACCAAGTGAACAACCCCATGTCCTTTCAAATTGAAGGAACTTTGGTATTCATGCCTTTTGTTTTAAACATGGATTTCACTTTCTTTCACAGCTTCTAGCTGTCTTCTGCTGATTAAAGTCAGAGAATTAATGGTGTTTAGATTTTTTTCCAGGTGATCTGATGAGAGTTATCCCTTCCTTCCCCATTTAACATAATAATGTGGTCTTCCTTGTAGAAGGTTTTATAAAGAAAGCTGTTTTAGGTCAGTGAAGTGAAAGCATTGGTGGTTCTCTCAGGTGTCTAATACATTTATATCCTTAATTTCCTATTCAACTTCTCCTCCTTCTTCTACTTCTTCTTCTTGGTTGTTGTACTAATGGAGTCTTCCAAAGTGTATGGAGGATCAGGTGAAGAATGTCAAAGCTGTGAATCTGGTTGGACCATGTATATTGGCTCTGATCATGATGATGAAGAACAAAGTAATGATACTGGAGATTATGTTGATAATGATAATGGTAGTGATGATGATGATGATGATGATGATGATATAGATGGCGATGGCGATGATGATGATGAAAGTGATGATTCCATGGCTTCTGATGCATCTTCTGGCCCAAGTTATCCTTATGGAAATGGAGAGGGAACTCGTAAGCATATTGAAAAAGTGGAGGATGATAGCTCAGGCAAGAAATCTAAAAGACAAATGGAAAAGCAAAAGGCTCAAGTTCAACTTAGAAGAAGTCATGAAGAGAAAGAAGAGGCGATTATGTTTGCAGCTGCAGAAAGAGCTTCTGCTCAAAGTGATTCCAAGGTAAGAACAGCAAATGTCTGGATAGGCAAAAGAAAGTAAAAATATGTTTCCTTTCCTGTTGTTTTAATTTTGGTTGCCTTGCAGCTTAGTAGCTAGAATGGCTGAAAATAAATGTACTTGATCCAAAACAAAGTACTTAATTATGATTATTAATTATGCGTTTTCAAACTTCTGATGTAAAAGTTAAATTAATTAAGAAATGTTACTTCTACAATAACCAGACTGCTCCCACCAACACACACAAAAACACATCTGAGTTACTGGTGCTTGTGCCCTTTACAGGCTTCAATATTTATTATGACATGCAAATACATACTCACAAATTTCATTCTACTTGCCTCCATGGGCCTAAAGAACACATGTTTGTGTCTCTGTGTTCTGCGGTCATTATCAATTATTTATGCAAATAGATCGTCTAAGTGAAAGAAAGAGAGAAGGAAGACGACTATACAAAAGCATTTATGTTTGGTCGAGTTTGTGTTAGTATATTATGTATAAAAAGATGTCCCCAAGAGCTTGTTAGTAAAGCAATAATAAATATGGTTCTTCTTGTCCACTCAAATCATGCCAAACAATATTTTAAAGTTGAAATGTAACAAGAGAGATCGAAGCAGTCTGCAGAGATTAAATTATTGAAGATCGGTGATCAAACTGTACAGTTACGTGAGGTTTGAAATTGAAAAGCTAAGAGTGTTCAGATCAAACAGTAATAAATATGTTGTAAATAAATAGTTGAATATAGAAAAGGTTTGAAGAGAGACAGAGAAAAGGGAAGCATAGGAAGAAAAGGTTGATGATAAAAATGAATGGACAAATTAAAAACACCTGTACTGGATAGTAATGGCAAAGCAGACATACTAGGTGGATCTGTGGGACATATTGCCTTGCACGAGACATGAAGAGGATTTTAATGATTTAGCCTTAGATTATGACAATTCCACACACTCCCCACCGCAAATCACGTTCCTGCCTCTTTGCATTAAGGCTCCTTTTCATCAGCTAGCCTACCTGAAAATTTTGCCGCTGTTTTCAGTATTAATATGGCTAGTTATTTAATTTTGGCTTTCTCTTCGACCCAGTTCGTACAACTTTAAATCTACATTTCAAAACTATTAGTTGACTATAGTGTATATATAGAAGATTTCATATATGTTTTCTAAAATTTATTATGTATATACACAGAAAACCTTAAGTACCAGTATCCTGAAGTTTTAGAGTATGTAGACCTCTATTTACTGGCCTTACTAAAAACTAAACTGTAAATTTTTTTTACCGTTTTCCATACAGAAAGATTATATTTTAGTAGTTTAAAAAAAATGTAGATTTCCGCAGGAGAGATTGACTATATATATAGTCATTCTTACAGTAATCGTGAAAATTCAATATGTATATTGTTATGTAAATTTGATGTAGTAATAAACTGAAACAATATTTTGAAGTGAATTTGGAGAGTTGGTAGTTGCCTGCAGGTCGGTCCAGCTGCAGCAGCTAGGCTGATGAAACTTGAGACAGATCAACAGACCTGATCGAGGCTGCAATATATACTGCATGCCTTTAAAAGTTAAAATAACCATGGAAATGATGCGAAGAGGAATTATAGGCAGAAAGGAAATAAGAATAGTGAAGAAATGGCAAAGAATTTGTTGAAGAATAAGACGGGGAGTACAGGTCATGTGACCACTTGTTGATTATATTTATATGCATAAATCGTTTTCAAGGTTCCAAGTACCAAACTTCATCAGTGAGGGAGGTAATGCTAGCTCTTACCATCTCCATAGGTGACAATGTCCTTTTTCTCTGAAAATGACTCTTCCAAATCATACTGGATTTTGTACCCAACCAGCTGGCTTTGCCCTTTACCCCACCTCTTCCTCTCATCATATTACAACTTACAATCAAACACTTTCACTTTCACATCCTACCTCACAAATGATTCCAACCCATATCAGCAAGTCAATCTCTTCAACTTATATAAGAACCACACTGGTAAACTTGAATAAAATTCCTGGATAACTTTTGATTTCAATCTGGATTTATGATGTAGGACGTGGGCCGGGTTCATGAATCAAGTTTCTCAGAATTAAATACCTAGAAAGAACTACTGGAATAAAAACATATGAAGAATATGTAGGACATGGCGTTCTTTAATAGTTTAATGATCAACTTTCGCAAAATTAAATACACAGAAAGAAACTGTATAACTAATAAATTATGCAAAGGTAATTAATATATATATTTCAGTTAATTACTTATTTGACAGGCTGTACGTACTTACGTAGATAAAACAAGTTCATGCTCATGCAAGAGTTAAAATAGAATTAGGCAAGTATAACTCGCGGGATAAATCATAAAACATGGTATTAGTATCATAAAATAATTGTATGATAATACTTATTGTTCTAAAAGCACTGCTTGTATTTGAAAAAACAAGCAGTGGTTCATGATTATTGTATATATTTTGGTTAATTGAATTAATAAATAGAAATGAAACTTCTATATATTACATTGAAGTATATTTTCAAATAAGCACTTGATAAATAGTGTTTTATACCATTTGGAGTTTTCCAGTTTCCTGCTAAAGCCATTTCTATTTTTATTTTTTATGAGACACTTTGGAAGAAGCAAACATGTAATAAACAAATGGAAATCCATTTCCTACACTGATTTCAGGATTCTTGCTTTGTGTTGTGCCATTAGTTTTGAGACTACTTTCACTTGTTGAGTCCAATGGGCCCTTACCAAATATCTAAGGCCTCCTCAAATTGATGTTTAGGAAAAAAATAAAAATAAAAAATAAATTTTAAAACTTTAAAATGAGTGGTCTTAAAAAATGGGCTTCTTTAGTCTACTAGTAGGATACCAATAGGCAATAGCTCCATTCATAAGGTTTATTCAAACTTAAAAATCTTGTCAAATAATAGATTTAAGTTAATGCTATTTGTGCAAACTTATATGATATATCATGTGGTATTGGGACTTACATAACTTAATGTCATATTAATATTATGTGGGCTTTCATATCACGTGATACTTACATTGTATGTCACGTAAGTTTGTACAAACTCTTTTTGTACAAAGAATTTGTATAAATAACATTACCCATAGATTTAGGGTTTAGGGTTTAATCCAATCTAATCTTATCTCCCAAAAGTATTCTAAAATTATCACGAGAGGATAACGTTCTAACAAACGCTTGATGGGGTTTTCAAAATTTAGGCAAACGTCAAAGGGTTTAATATTATCTCTTTCTTTGTTATAAGTAGATATTCAAGATTAAAGATAAAAATAGTATTTAATCTCTGCAACTATGTGAATAGTCAATTCTATTAACATCTCACCAAAAATAAAGGGTTTTATGTTATTACTAGTATTTGAGAGGGTTTTCAGATTTAGGAAGACCTCCAGGGTTTAAGATGTTTGCATATATATATATATAGATAGAATTTATGACCTCTCTTGAGGTTTAAAGAACTAAGAAAAACTGGAAATAACTGATGATTTCTGATATTTTTTCACTCACGGGGTACGAGATTATAACCTAATAAATATAATGGGATACTTTTTTTGTATGAGTCCACGTAATCACATAGGCAATGACACCTGGTGTGTTGACGTGGACGAAACTGCACCTTGTCATCCTCTCTTTTTCCCCTCGCTCCGTTTTCCCTCTCACTCACCTCATTCAGTAGCCAGAGGAGAAGAGAAGAATCGACGAAATGTCAAAGCTTTTGTTCCTTCACACTCCTCACATCACTTCCAGAATTCACACCAAAACCTTCTCGCTAATCGTCACTCACTCGCTCTCTCCTCTTCACTTCAAGTACCGCCTACTCTCTTCCTCCCCTCTCTCCACCACGCAATCCAATCATCACGCGCTCTCCCAAATTCACTCCCTCCGCCGCAGCTTCTCCCTCCGCGCTTTCGACGACTCGCCGTCCGATGCCAAGACTCAGCAAGAACAGCAGCTCAATGAAGTTGATAAGACCAAATTCAAATCAACGGACGAGAATTATCCGAGCGGAGAGTTCGAGTTTGAGGAATTCGGTGCCTGGAAGAGCTTCAATGTGAAGCTGAGGATGCTGATTGCCTTCCCGTGGGAGCGCATTCGTAAAGGCAGTGTTCTCACTATGAAATTACGTGGCCAGGTTTGTTTTTAGATTCCTCTAAATTGAAATTTGTATTGTTTACCTGGTTAGAGGTTGTTTTTTTTTGTTTTGTTTTTTTGCAGCTAAGTAGTAAAAAATTGCACAGAATTTATCTTTTATTTTGTAAAATACTAATTGGAATTTTATTAAGAAAATGCTACCTTTGCTATAGGTTTCTATAACAGCCAGCAGGCACGGTATGTTTGTCATATAAGAAGGAAATCAAATTTTAGCTTGTTTTCCATGGTTCATAACTAAATTTTAATCCTTGCGATAGATCATTCAAGTGTAAAAGTTATAAAATGTGATTTTCTTTACTTTCTGAACAGTCTTTTTCTGTGGCTTTTGATACGATTTCTTTATACTGGAGGTTGACAGTTTTCGTTTTTGTTTATTTCTTATGTTCAGATATCTGATCAGCTAAAGAGCCGTTTCTCTTCGGGACTATCTCTACCCCAAATATGTGACAATTTCATAAAGGCAGCTTATGATCCTCGTATTTCGGGTATTTATCTTCACATTGAAACCTTAAACTGTGGATGGGGAAAAGTTGAAGAAATTCGGAGGCACATTGTGGATTTCAAAAAGTCAGGTAGCTTTGTAATTTATATTGTTTTGCATCGATATGAATTGGATTGTTTCAGTCCATATCATAAACTTAATTTCTGTCCTACTTTAGGGTAAATCAAGATGTAGTTATCTCATTTATATTGTCAATCTGGCGTTGGATCCTTAACACTATCCGGGAAAATTTGCACAGCACATTTGATAAACAAATATGCAATGAGTGTTTCTGGACTATTAGGATTGTGAATAAGTGTGTTCATGTGTGCTCAGCTGTGGAAGGAGAGAGGTGGTTATCTCTTATTGCATTTTAAATTATCCTGAACATTCTTTTTGTTGATATCTTCTCTTATCATCAAACCACATCATGTCTTAAATATTTTGTTTTATATGTGAATCAAGTTTTTGAAGTAAGAAGCTTATTCTAACTTTTCAATATTTTTCT